CTCATGCTAGAAAAACTCACAGAAAAGCCTCTGCAGATCCTCTTTCATCAGAGTTTCAAGAGCAGTAGGATTCAGCAAACTCCACATTTTGTCTTTGGTTCTACAAAGATGCTCAGGGAAAGGGCCTTGGCTGTCAGATGGGCCAGCAGACCATGGTCCTTGATGTTCCTCGGTGGCAGGGGGGAAAGTAGAAAGAATTAAGAGTTATGCAAGAAAAGAAATCCAGGGAATGGCAGAGGATGCAGCGGCCGCATCTCCTAAAACAAAGCACGTCCTGGCCCTCCGAGCCCATTAGGCTCTGCCCATTAGGCAGCTCAGACCCTGCTGAGGATCCCAAACCAGAGTAGAGGAAGCACAAGCCCATAGCCTACAGAAGACAGGTCCTGTAAAGAGTAGAAGCCCAAAAGAAAGGCTTCTCCAACCAGAAGCAGCTCTGCCAGTCCAATGGCTTTTCTCTGACCCTCCTGCCCCAAGACCTTCTCTGAAGAGCTGACCTGCATGTCCCCAGTCCAGCCACTTGACTGGTTTTAGCTGGGAAGAAACTTATAAGGCTCAAGAGCATGGGATGAATTTATTTTAGAAAGTGTAGCTACAGGTTCTCCACAGTTCGTCAAAGACTGGTACGTTTGGGCACCAGTTATGGTGTCTCTGAGCTCGGTTTGGGCCAACAAAACCCTGCAAGAAGCTGGGGCATCTCAGGGCCGTTAGCCTGGGCTGATTTCCAGTTCTCTCTTTGCTACAGACAGCAGCTCTGCATGCAATTCAGCCCCAGCAGAGAGTGCCGGCTGGCCACACATCCAGGAGAAAGGAAGTCAGCCCTGTTCATGTGGAGAACCACCAATGTGTGTTGGCAAGGTGGTGAAGTGGGGCAAATACATTCAATACGACAGCAGGAGAACCTTCAAAGAGTAGCTCAAAACCCCTCAAAGGACAATCCATGAAATTCCAGAATAGCTCTGGAGTCCTGGGTGACTTGTATTCCAGACACTAGCTGCTGCAAGATGTACAACAATAAGATGTACAACACAGGCAGTTCTGGCTCATTTCAAGCCAGCCCAGCCCAAGAGGGGATGTTTAGAGCATGATCCAAGTGATAGCAAGATCCTGGTAAGAACTGCACTGAGAATATTGTTTCCTTAAGTTGGTGGGAGCATTTCTTCACACGGGGGTGAACCATTTCCTCTGCAGCAGAGCTGGGGTGCAGTAACCCTCCTAGTCTTCCCAGGATTTTCACCCTGCATCTCTGCTCCCTGACCCAGTATGTGGAAGGTGAGTCCAAGCCACTGCTGGAAGCATGTTCTGACTGAAGGGACACCTGGAGTGCTACCAGCAAACTGCTCACAAATGGCCTCTCATTTTGTAGGTCTGTTCTCTGCATGGCCGGGCTGTTCCTTGTGTCTTGCTGAAGTTGTGCCATATGGAGCAAATGCTTCAACGTCTGTCTGTGTCTGCCTGACCGTGCAACCCAAGGGCTCTCTGCAAATGATGCTCTGCTCTCAACATTTTCATGAGTTGGGGACAGTCCCCAGCAGGGGCTTTTCTCCACTTTTCCCAAGTTTATTTTTTTCACCCTGTAAATCTCCCAAAGCATAAGGAGCCATCAACAGAGACCTGGAACTCGATAGCTGCTGGCAGGGAAAAGGTGGCTGGAAACAGTTGCAGGATTATGCTCTGCATGTTCTCTCTCTCGCCCATATGTGACACTGGGATCTGGTTTAGCTTTGGGCAGTTAAAAATGCGACAAGAAGGAGAAAAAAAAAGGTCTCTTGTCCGTTCCTTTCTCTCTCTGCTGTGTAGCCAGCTGAAGTCTGCACAGGAAGAAAGGGCAAAGGAGGAAGATCTGAACAGAGACCATGGGGCTGAGCATCATTTTCTAGCAAACTGTTCTGCAGTGAGGGGACCTGGAACCTGCAAAAAGGTTTGACTTTTTTCTTAAGTGAAGCTGGGACGAAACCTTGGACCCAATCTCTCTTTAGCTTATGGTTTTCTTTAAAAGCAGTGTGTTTGCAAGTGCCCCTGTGGATGTGACGTGCTCACGTCTGAGTATGCAATTCCCAGGTGAGTAACAGCACTCCCAGTGTTGTGGCGTGTGTCGAGTCGCACCTCGTTCTTGCTGCCTGCCTTGTTTTTCTCGGGCTGACAAGCTCCTGACTAATGGCAGTCACTGCTGCTTAATCAGGAAGCAATTTAATGATAACCTTTTCTAATTAACTAGCAAAGAGAAGAATGAATAAACTGTGAAACAGCCAGCTGGCTTCAGTGTCTCCAGCCAAAGGGTCTGTCAGGTGGAAGACAATGGTATCTGGGGACAGGGATAGCAGCTTTGGACCTGCCACTGGGCAGAGTAGTAAAATTCTGAGATGGGAGGGGGTTCTGGTGCTCCCCAGGGCCTTTTCTCTGCTTTCTCCCCAGTTATTGCTCTGGTCATGCACATGGGGATCATGACTGTTCAGGAAGGGCATCTTGCTGTGTATAATCAAGCCCCATGTATAATTAAAACCCTGGGAGACCCTTTTATTTTAACTTTGAAGTAAATATGAGTGAAAGTACCTTATTATGAAGGTGTTTACAGAATCATAAATGAGCCCAGGTTGAATGGGACCTCAAAAGACCATCTGGTCTAACCTTTTGTGGGAAAGAGAGCCTAGATGAGGTTATCTATCACCTTGTCCATTGGATCTTGAAAACCTCCAGTGATGAGGACTACTACACCATGTCCCTGGGGAGGTTGTTTCAGTGATTGATTATTCTCAATGAAAAAAGTTCCTGTCTCACATCAAGATGAAACCTCTTCCAGTGCAATTTGTTGAACAGTGTAGGACCAATATTGATCCCTGAGGGACCCCACTTGTGACAGGTTGCCAGCCTGAATAAAACCCATTGATTGCTGCCTTTTGCATGTAGCCTGTGAGCCAATTTCCTATCCATCTCACAGACCACCCCTCCAGTCTGTATCTGGTCAGTTCATCCATGAGGAGGCTACTTCCCCAGGTAGACAGAAAATGTTATTTTGCTGTATGTGATCAGGTTAGTCTGCCATGATTCACCTTTAGTAAATCTGTGCTGGCCTTCCCAGTCACCTGCTTCACTTGGTTTGCGACAGTTTCTCAGAAGACTCACTCTACTACTTTCCCAGGATCTGGAGTAAGACTAATGGATCTGTAGTTTCCTGTGTTCTCCTTTGCTTGTAGATAGCTCTTCCAAGCTCCAGGCATATCCCCTCATCTGTCCAGTCACTGGTGATGTCCCCAAGGGATCAGTGTTGGGCTTTATCGATGATCTGGGGATCAAGCTGACCATTAGCAAATTTGTGGACAACACCAAGTTGAGTCAGCGTGCCGCTCTGCTGGAGGGCAGGCAAGGCTCTGCAGAGGAATCTGGACAGGCTGGATCGATCGGCTGAGTCCAACAGCATGAGGTTGAACAAGACCGACTTTGGCCACAATAACCCCCAGGTAGCACTACAGGCTGGGGGAACAGGCTGGGGCTGCTGGAAAGCAGCCCAGTGGAAAAGGACCTGTTGGTCCTTTTTCACCTGACAGCAGGTGAACATGAGCCAGTGTGTATGCCCACACGGCCAAGAAGGCCAGTAGCATCCTGGCCCTTATTAGGAACAGTGTGGCCAACAAGACTAGGGAAGTGATTGCCCCTTTTACTCAGCACTGGTGAAGCCACACCTCAAGTCCTGTGTCCAGTTCTGGGCCCCTCAATTCAGGCAGAGCACTGAGGTGCTGCAGCATGTCCAGAGAAGACCAACAGAGCTGGTGAAGGGTCTGTAACACATGTCCTGTGAGGAGCAGAGGAGGGAACTGGATATGTTCCATCTGGAGAAAAGGAGGCTCAAGGATGACCTTATCACTCTCTACAACTACTTGAAAAGATGTTGTACCCAGGTGTGCTTCAGCCTCTTCTCTCAGGCAACTAGCAACAGGACAAGAGAACAGAGTCTTAAGCTGTGTCACAAGAGGTTTAGATTGGACATAGGAACAATTTATTTACAGAAAGGGTGATTAGATATTGGAATGGACTGCCAAAGGAAGTGGCGGAGTCACCGTCCCTGAAAGTGTTTAAGGAAAGACTGGATGTGGCACATGGTGCTGTGGTCTAGTTGACACGGTGGTGTTTGGTCATAGGTTGGACTTGATGATCCCAGAGATGTTTTCCAACCTAACTGATTCTGTGATCACCACTGTTTAAAAATGTCAGAGTGGCCTTGCACAAATGTCAGCTGCTGCTCCTAACACCCAGGGGTGGACTCCCTCCTCAGTGCTGACAAGCGCTGTCACACACCCTTCTCACACATCACTCCAGGTTTTACTCCCCACTCAGACTCCAGCTGAGGGCCACACAGCCGGTGTGCCAGACCCACACAGCAGGGGCAGCCAGCGAGGGTGCCCTGCCCCGCCCGTGCAGCACCAGGTGCTGGCTGGGGCAAACAGCCAGCCTGTGGCCAGCAGCAGAGTTCCCGCACCCCCTATGTGGCCCTGAACCGAAAAGGGGCAAGTGGGTGGCGGGGGCGGCCCCCGGACCCCTGCCTGCTCCGGCGGGACCGCAGCACCGCCCCCGGTATGGCGCAGTGAGCACAAGACTACATTTCCCAGCTCCTCGCGCGCTTGTATCTCCCGTCGTGCCGCGCGCGGTCAGTTGCTCGGTGCCGCCGGGCGGTGCGCGGGGGCTGCTGGGAGCTGTAGTCCCTCGGCGGGTCCCCGGGCTTCGTCCGCCGGCGGGTGAGCGGGGGGCGGCGGAGCCCCCGGGGCCGGGCGGGCACCGCGGCGCGGCCCCCGCTCCCGGGGCCGGGCGGCAGTGCCGGGACCCCGCGGGGCCGCGGGGGGGACCCTGGCGGCAGGGATGGGGAAAGGGGGGCGCGGAGCGGGGCGCGGGCCGGGACCTTCGTGGAGTTTGGGACGGGAGCCCGCCCGGCGCGTGGGAGGGGGCGGGCAGGGAGCGACCTCCCCTCCCCAGGGTGGTGAGGAATGTGCGGGAATGCAGGGCTGGAGGGCGAGAAGCGGGGAGGAGATGGAGCGAGGCCGGCTCCTGGGGATGGGGCGGGAGCCGCGTCTTCGCTTCTATCCGTGACCTGCGGGCCGACCTTTCTCAAGGCAGGAGCCGACTGCCCTTTGGGGTTCAGTATGTGTCTGCCATGCTCTTTTAGGTGCCCAAAGAGCCGAAGGTGAACAGGGAGGATGGCCATCTTTCCATCTTTGCTGATGGGTACCCGAAATAGAACACTCTTCCACAAACACTGTGCAGAGATGTATTGCTTTGCCTGCGTTTGCCTTTGCAGAGCTGGCTCTGCAGTGCAGAGTGGCCCTGTGCTTTGCTGTTTCATCAGTTCTGCTGGGATTTGCAGAGAAGAGTGCTCAGAACTGTAGTGGGATAGGAGTTTTCTCCTTTTTCTGTATGTTTTATCTACGTGGGGCTGGCATGCAAAGCCCCAGCAATGGTTGTCACCATCTACTTGCTGATAATGGCTCAGCCTTGGTCTGACAGCTTTGCTGTACTACCAGATATTTGTGTAGGATCAGATACAGTAATGCTCAATCACTAATAATACTGAGTTTTCAATACAATAATCATTTGAGGGAACTGAGCTGAAATGTCCTGTCTCTATTTGTTGGTGTTCTTTTTTTTTTTTTTTTTTTAGTAGACTGGCCTCTGTTCCTGTAAAGAAGCAGGTGCCTCTGTGATTAATTCCCGATGTGGTGTTGGTGCAGATTTATTATTTGAATTGTTGAAGATGTCATCAGGCCTTACGGAGGAGCAAAAGAGGAGGATTGAAGAGAACCGGCGGATAGCTTTGGCTCGGAGAGCAGAGAGGCTGGCAGTCCAGAGAGCTGGGCAGGTGGGGATTGCTGCACCTCAGGTGAAAGAACAGAGTCCAGGCAATCAGGGCAACTCGAAGGAAGAAGACAACCATGCCAGGTTCACCAGCCAGCACCAACAGAATCCAAACAATCCTGTGGAGCAGAAGAGCTATCTTCAGAAAGGTTATAACCATTACACTGCAAACCAACAGATGGCTGGTTCACAAAGGGAGCAGCAAAAGAATTGTTCAGAGGACTCGGAACAAGCAAGTGGCCTTAAGCATTTCTCTACAATGATCTCAAATTCTCTGAGTTATTCCCATAAACATTACTTGGATGCTGGTGGTCAGGAACATGGACAACAAGCTTTAATTAATCTTGGAACCTTCCGGCAGTCCAAATGCAACCCAGCTTTCAAAAACTCCACAGAACCATCTCATCCTAGATTAATTGATAACGAGCACCCTGAGAGTGGTAAAACTTTACAACGTCTGAACAAATCTGCCATAAAATATATTCTACCATCAAGCAGTGCCACCCCAAGTGATTCAGAAATGCTGATAAACACAAGCAGACTGGCAGAAAGAAAAGGGGAAGGTTTTGTGTCTCAGGCCACTGGTAGGATGCAGAAGCTAACCAGCTCTGCTGGTGTGGGCTCTACCTTTGAAGCTGCCTGTGGCAAGAAAGCAAATAATGTTACAAAAGGAAAATGTGTGAAATATGGGGAAGACCGATTCCAGGTCGAAATAGGGTATAATGCTGAACTTATTGCTGTGTTTAAGAAGGTACCAAGCAAAGCCTATGGTAAGAATTGATTGTTTGTTATCTCTATGTTACACTGGATTGAAGTTCTGGCATCTGCTGCAACTGTAGTTGCTATATGCCCCTACCAGTGCAGCTCTTGCTGGGGTGCAATAGATGGTATTAATGGGGCATAAAAAAGGTAAAAACAGATGAAATGGGATAGAAATCCTGGGTATAAATAGCTTGAGCTTGGATTTAGAAAAGAAATCAGAAGCCTTGCTTTATGAACAGTGCTCTGAGAAATTTAGTGGCAGCAGCTGGTCAGAGTCTTTAGGGAGTGAAGGAAGTTATTCATAAATTGATATGGGAAAATGGGTCACTTCTGCTGTAGTTCAGAGTTGATAAGCTGATTCTGTTAACTGGGTTACTGAGAGCAGTGGAATCTCCACCTTTTGGCTTGCTTCTGATCTTTTGCCCTGCCTTTATTTGTTACATTCTACTTTTGTTTCCCCCACGTGTTGCTGATCCCTGTGAATGGCAGCTGCATTCTTCATGTTTTGATATTGATATGCCTTACGGTTTTTTTGGTGTCCCACAGCTACAAACATGGGTATAACTGTTTTTCAGATGTGTGGCAAAAGTTTGCATGAGTAGATTTAATTCTCTTACCTCACATGAACATTGCACACTGGCACTTTTTTCTACCCCAAATGATTCATATTCTGCCCTGTTTTAGATCCTGCTATGAAAAAATGGAATTTCAGCTTGAGAGATTACAGCAGTCTCAGTAAGTAAATTGGTTGTTTAATGGTAAAAAAGGATGGAAATCTTGACACCACCCCCCCTTCCCCTGCCTTCCATAGTTATTATTCAGCTTTGTTATTGTCTCGGATAATAAAAGTAGTCCTGCTCAAAGGTAATGCCTATCTTTCAGGCATCTAGCTCATAGCGTTTTTCTAACACTTTGTAGTTGATTAGAAATAATTTCATTTTTCATGTAATCTAAATACCAAGCACAGGTTAAACTTATTCTGCCATTGCTGAATTCTTCAGCAGCCAAGAAGATCGTAGGAAAATTATCTGCTGTGCTGGTACTTCATTTGAATTTGTATTGAGAATTGAGTGTGTTCCAGTGGCTAATGCTTAATTTCTGCATCCATTCATGTATTTTCTTTTTAAATAGCTCTTTTTGAAACATTTTTCCTCTTAATTTTGTGTGTCATAAAAGGATAAAGGGTAACTCTCCAGAGCTTTGAGTGAGACTGAAAATGGATTTGCCTTTTTTTGGGCATAACAAGGATGGCTTTATCTTTTTTCCCCTCTTCTGTCATTTTGTTCTGGAAAGATTGAGAGATGATAGAGGCAAACACTTCAGGTGAGCTTTTCAAAAGCACACTGTATTGAAGTGAGTGATAAATCACTATTGATTTCAGTGGGAACAGAATTAGGCCTGTGTTGAGCACTTTGAAAAACCACAGTTGAGTGCTGGTATTTTAGCTTCCCATGTGGGTTGCCACACATTTATAATTTAAATGCTGCTGGTTTGCTTGAAGTGTATCAAGTACAGATGAGAGCAAAGTCTGCACCAAGGAGCTTGCAAATGAAGAGGATGGTTTTTAGAAGTCAGGTATTTTTCTTTAAAGCAATCAAATATATGAGTACTCTGTGGAAAGTTCCTGTTTACATGTGAAGACAATAACGTGATCAATCTTGGGCAGTGAAATTGTGGAAAAATAGCCTGAGAAAAGGGAACTGAATTAAAAGGGCCTTGAAGTCATGACAGTGTAAAACAATTATTTTAGAAGTTCCCACTGTTAATTTAGTTGTTCTGAATAATGTGGTCTTGTATCACCTTTCTTTCTTTGTGCTATAAATTAAAAACTCACTCAAGCCTAGAAACTCAAGCCTAGTTGAAATAAGAATAAAATATGCTTTTTTTCCCTCCCAATTTCTTTCAGTATTATTTGTAGAGATGAGATCTAACAGTAGCATCGGAAATATTTTGCTTGGTGCATCTGGGGGAGAAAGTCTAAATTGGTGGTTTCCTATTCCTCTACTTTAAGAATTACTTTCATAGGATGCTCTTAAACTTTTTATTTAGAGTAGAAATCTCAAATACTTGGATTTATTTTGGAAGTAATTTATCTTAAAATAAGATTGGACTAAACACAAATGGTATATTTATTAACTGGTTAGGAAGAAACTGTCTGAATTTCCTTCTCCCTTTTCAGATCTTGACCACTGAACTTAAATGTTGTACACTTTGTTGCATATCAGTTAGCCGGACACAGTAGAATAAAGGGAGATGAACTTAAGTTGTAATAAAAGAGATTTAGGAACTTGGACTAGTTTCCTTCCTACAGCACTGTGAATATGCAGCATTCATAGAACAGAATCATAGAATCAGCTGGGTTGGAAAAGACCTCTGGGATCATCAAGTCCAACCCTTGATCCACTACTACCTCCTAGATGAGATTGCCTATCAGGCATTGACATGAGGCCCAAGGCAGGTATTTTTAGGTCTTTCTCCTTTACTGTTTACAGAAGCACCTTCCCATCTTTTCAGGCACATATCATTGATCACCATGCCCCTGTCTCTGATTTTGTAAGTGAAAACGCTGTATGGCTGTGTGCAATTTACTGCTAAATGTAGTTCTGCAGATTGGTTGCCCTGGCTTAGTAAGCCACCTGTTAGGATTGCTGACAGAGAAGGAGCCTAATGCACTAACAATGCTGGACAGGGCCTTGTTCATCTACTATCACGTGTTCCCTTTGCCACAACTGCATTCTCTGTGGAAAATCCCACCAACCTGCTCCTCCAGGCCATTCCTCTCTCTAGTCTTTGACCCTGCGAGTGAAAGGAGGGAATCGTGTTTCCTTTTCAACTTGAAGGTGCATGGTTTGTTATCCTCTTGTTCCTTTTCTTCCCTAAGTATTCTGTGCATCTTTAACTTATCAATGTTCTTTGTTATTCATTCTTTTCTGTATCTCATGTTTCTATCCCTAGTGAAAGCAGCTAATCAACTTTCGTCAGTGGTTCTGGCACCACTGGAAGGAGAAAATGCAGTTGGCTCAGGCTCTCATTTTGTTGGCAGTGGGGTTGATGTGAAATCCCTCTTGGAGATGTGTAAGAACTGGAAGAAACCCTCAGCCCTTGTCAAAGGGAAATGTGTGCTGATCTCTCGCTTGCGATTTGAGGTTGATATTGGGTATGCTGCAGAAGTGATCGGAGTGTTCAAACAGATGGATTCCAGAAATTATGGTGAGTCTCATGTTTTTTCTGCCTTTTTTTAATTACCTTGTTGGGGCTGCTCTTGCTTCAGAGAAGACAGATTGTGAGAGTATATCCCTCTGAAAGAGCATGAGATTGTGCTTTGGTGAAGATTTTGAGAGCTCTTGTAGTTCTGTTATTGTGCTGTATCTGTGTCCAGCACTTTATCCCATGGCAGAACGTGTCTGCTGGGCCTGTTAGCCAAGGTGATATTTCAGAACCCAGCATGATGACATTTACTGTTGAGGTGGGATGTGCTGATAATTTGCCAAAAGTGCAGAGACCATGTGAAGTTCTCATCTTTATTATCAAATGCAGTTGGACATTCTCTTATTTCTCCTGCTTTACTGTGGTGTATAATGGCTGCAACTGCCTGGGCAGATTTAGTTTGCCCACAGTTTTACCAGTATTTTTGAGGCAAGTGTAACTGTAGAGCACTTTTTATGTTGGCATTCAGATTTCAATGGTAAATATAATTCTTTTCCCCTTGTAATTTGGGAAATGAGGCACAGAGTGATGAGGTGACCTGCACAGTGTCACAGCAGGTCACTGACAGCATAGAGAACCAATTCTGGATTGCTTGTTCTTTGGGCAGGGCCTCACCTGGCTCACTGTTCAGCTGACTCCGGATTCACTCTGTTTCCCTGGATGTTGTAGGCAGGTGCTACCCAGGGATAAACCTGCCAGATAGGTCTGGCATGATGTTACATTTTGGATATTGATGAATTGGTGAATTTCCTTTGTACCCTTCTGAGCGCATCTAGGGACTCTAGGGTACAGATGTACAACTGAAAGTGATTGTTTTACTGACTGAAGCCAGAGTTTGTTAACAAATGGGAACCTTCATGCACATTCTCCATCCCTTCTTGCAGTGAAAGGAAAGGGGTTGCCAAAATCCTTGGGCAGATGGGTTCATTACAGTGGTTCATTTGGAGAGCTGACCTTGGCTTGCTCTGGTGATACCAGTTCTAGATGTGTGCTCATAATTTTAAATCTTCTCCAAACTGTTTGCTTAACATGAATGCAAACAGCGGACAATTGATTTTGAAGAAGGTAACAATTCTTCTGAAGCAGTTCTGAAATCTGTATCAGAAAATGTGGATGAATAGACAGGTTCTTACGGACAGAGAATTTCGTCTTTTTTCAAAGATACTTATGACAGTGTTTGCTGTAACTATTGCAGATGTGAACACCAGAAAGTGGAATTTCCTGCTGGAGGATTACCCCAAACTAAGTGAGTAGCCGCGTCTCCCTGGTAAGGGCTATCGTCTGGGGAGGTAAATTAATTCTAACTTTATTTGTTCTTTATTTTCACTCTGGGAAGACAAGTTGCTAATGAACTGTGAGGCCAGTGTGTCCTGTTTTGTCAAATATTTACACTTTTTGCCCAGACTCAAAACTTTATTAATGTGTGCTATTCATGACAGTGCTTTAGGGGCCCATTGGGAATGTAGCTTTAGTTTTTGTCAGATTTTGCACTGAATTTGTGGACCACTTCTTATTCCTTATCACAGTTATTTTTATTGCTTATAATGTAAAGCAGCTCTATTGAACTAAGGAGTTACGGGAGAATGGATTCCTTTGTTTCCATTTACCACATTTGAAGAGGTTGACATGGCGGCTGCCAGGCCTACCTGTCCTTACAGAAATTCTGTCAAACTGACTTGTTTTAGCTGTGCTCCCCTTACCCTCTGTGCCAGCTCACCTTGCACCCTTCTGTGTGTATATAAATTCATACACTGTCACAGCCACCCCTGGCTTAGAAAACAATCGTGTATCAGGCAGTTCTGCTTCCATTTCCTTAGTAATCTGCATGGTGGTGTGCTAGTTAATTTCACACCCAGTAAATTTGGTTTTTCAGGTCAGAGCACTAGGTTTTCAAGTCAGATGATGACTTCTGTAATGACCAGTTCATCCACAGTTACAGTCTGAGTGCTGTCTAGTTGATTTTGTTAAGCCTCATATATTACTGCTGGTAATAATGGCTTTGCAGGCAGCACACAATTATTAAGTTTTTAATTGATGTCTGCAGCAGGTTAGAATTTGGATTGCTTCGATAGATGAGTCGATTCTGAGGCAAACAAGAAGATTCTGCTCTTGCAGAATTGTGCAGATCTGCTTGAAGCAGAGGCATTCTTGAAGCTGAATTTCATACTCTCCTAAAATGTTTTGATACTGTTTGGATGCTTAAAAGAAAGCTTAGCAATAAAAAAAGTCTTTTTAAGAGAGCATCATATTTTTCCTTTCAAGTAGAATCTAAGCACATAGTGTCACTACAGAGTTAATGTCTTGGTAGAAGTTGATCAGTAGACTCAGAATCACAGAATGGGTCGGGTTAGAAGGAAACACCGTGAGTCATCTGGTCCAGCCTCCCTCAGGCAGGGTCATCCTAAAGCACATGGCACAGGATTGGTGTCTGGATGGTTCTTGGATATCTCCAGCGAGGAAGACTCTACAACCTCTTGGTCACTCGCACAGTTAAGAAGTTCTTCCTCATATTCAGGTGGAACTTCCTGTGCATCAGTTTCTGCCCACTGCGTTTTGCCTTTATGCATCTGTGTAATCCTGCTGAAACTGTGACTTGGTGAACTGAAATGTAGGACTGTGGTTCCTTGTGTTGCAGTGTTCTTTTATTTTTTTAATGGATGCAACTTTGCAGAATAATCCAGTCTCAGCAGCATGCTTCCAGCACATCTGCTTCTTAGTCTTCTGTGTTTAGTTAGGTTTATAGAGTGCTTTGAGATGAATAGCATTACACAAGTCCCAAGTGTTAAATTACTATTTTTCATCCCAGTCGACCTGCTGTGTTTGCCTTGGTACTCGTATGAAGGTATGTGGCTGTGGAATTTGGTTGGGGTAAGCTTCAGGAAGACAATAAGCAAGGTGCTCTACACACATCCTTAGAAAGTGTGACTGAGCATTTCAGAGATGAAAGGCTGTTGCTTAGAGTAGTTTTTCTCCAGCGTGGGCTCCTCCTTCCACGGGATTCCAAAGCATGTTTAATAATTGAGTATATGCATGCTTCTATGATGCATGTCTTAATAACATTAGTAATGGCTGTAGGGATGAAAGCCTTGCGGTGGGGCTGTGTAGGAATGCCAGGTCTTGAAAACAAGAGAGTGTGTTGTGGTGGAGACTATTATGAAACTGCAGGGTTGGGATGCTGACAGGTCCTGATTTCAGTGAGAGCTGGTGTTCACTCACAATTTGCTAAAAAGGCCTTCTGTACATGCAAAGGGCCTGAACCTGTAGCACACGCTAGGCAGTCTGAGCAAACACATCACCTCACAGTCTGTCACAGTCTCAGTCATGCTGGCTGGCAGTTGTATACATTACATGAAGCATTGAGAATCCCACAGATTTGAGGAAAGAAAAAAAAAAACATTCCGTGAATCTTGCAGGGTGTAATTTGTGAGGGCATTTGAGGCTTCTAGCACGTGCCTTTTAGAGAAGCAGCATTTGCTTTGTTGCCTGTTCATTTGCCTACATCAGAATAAAAAAAGAGGAGAGAATTTAAAAAGGCTGGTTGCCATTTCCAGCAGAGAGATCTGTTAGCTGGGAACTGTTTGTAGAGGTTAATGTCTCTTTGCCTAGTTGCTCAATCATCTTTATATAAAGGTCACTTCACTAAAAAATGTTGGATGAATCATGCTGGTGGCAGATATATCTTAATCACTCTCCCAGCTCATGTACAGAACAATAGCAACAGAATTATCAGTGAGCAAATTGTAGCAATTACGCTAACACACAGCTCGGTCTGTGAGTGTAATAACAAGCTTCTGCTGTACTTCGGGTGGAGAGAGTTCCTGCTATTGAAGAAGTATAAATTAAACTGCAGAGTTTAAAAAGTTTGGTCATTGCCCAACCACAAATGGAAATCTTTTCATATGTATATTTCTTGGAATTGCTTTTCCCCTTTATATGGCAGGGGTCCATCCTGCTGCTTTCCTCTTGGAGATAACTGAAACAAAAATACCTAACTGAATTCTGACGCGTTTACTGCTGGTATAGTGAGTTCTTGTTTCAGTTGTTTTTCCAAACAGTTTTTTTTAATGTCTTCTGGACTTCATATACAAACCAACCACTAAATAAAAAAGAAAGTTGCTTCCTTCAGTGAAGATCTCTGCACATGCATTTGTGTTCCTAGTGTAGAGGTATCTTTTGTTTCATAGTCACTGGTCAAAAATTACTAAATATGTTTTTCTGGTCACAGTTCACTGCATGTTTTAAACAGGTATTTATTTTCATGGAAATTCACTGTTGGATTAAAAAGAAATACTTTTATCTGGGGGGGTGGGGTGGGGTGTGTGGATAGAGAGGCTGCTGGAAGGGACTGAAATAAGGTTATCCAGGAGGAAGATTGCCTAGATGCTTTGTTTGTTATGATGCATGGGTGAAGGCCTCAAGGTCGTGGAATAATGGAGGCTGGGGATCCCTTTAGTTCAGCTGGGAAGGTAAAGTTCAGGGGTTTCATGGGTGAAACAATGAAAGTATTGAAGAACTCAAGTGACTGCCTGTGGGCTGGTTCTGACCTGCAAGCTGCTTCTGTCCAGGAGAACAGCAGTGGACTCCAGCTGAGCAGGGAGGTGCTGTTGTTACTGAAGGATGGCTGTTAGAGTGCTGCTGACAGTGGTACAAGAGCAGTTTCTCTGATTCTTGGGGTAATTCCTGTTTTCTTACCCAAATGTAGTAAATGAGGGGGATAAAGTGGAGACAGAACCCAACCTGTGTGGATTTGGGGAACAGGAGGAGAAGAGAGTTTTCAAAGCTGAACGCATATGATATTTTTTTAAGTAACTGTCTGGGGTCACTCCTGGTGATTTGGACATGGTGGAAACCTCAGAGGTGTTTAATGCAGAATCCCAAGGTCAAGATAAACATGCCCCTGCCTTCTGGGTTTCAGGAGCTCTTTTGTTCAAATCCATACTTTGATTTCTTTGTAAAGTGTGCCCTAAGCTGCCCTCAGTGTGAATAATCCAGCTCCAGCTGTATTAGTAGCAATCATCTCTGAATGATGGCATCAGAGTTTCTTTTTTTTTTTTTATAACCAAGTCTGAATACGAGGGGAGGAGATGTGACTCATCATATGGTTCTGAAATAGACTTCAGGGAAGAGGCCAGGATAACACCTGTGCATGATGCAGTGATTTCTGTGAGCTGTTTCAGGACAGGAGATAATACTGCTGATGAGGTTGAGGGTTGTGCCCTGACATCCATAATGTAAGTTGTGTGTATGTTGCCCCTTCCAATAATAAACTGCTCTGTTCTTTGCAGTGGAAGTGTTACAGAGCCTCGTGTCAGTAGAAGTGGAGCCACTGCCCCAGGCAGTAATACAGACCTTTGCTGCTCAGCTTCAGAGTTCCCAGTCACACACAGACATTCCCGATGCCGACCTTTCAGTAGTGGACTCCAAAATTGTGACAAGCCTCATGCCCTTTCAGCGGGAAGGTGTGAAGTATGTCCTTTTTGCATGCTGTTAAGGGCTTGTCCTTGCCTAAAATTGCCTAGTTGATATTGGTGCCCAGGTTGCATTCTCTTCCAGTCTTGGTCTCTTATACTCTGGCATTCTGGGCTTTTGGTTGTTTGGTATAGTATGGTTTATTTTGTTGGGACTTTATTTTTGTGGAATTTTTGAGTGACACATCTGTTTTGTTTCTAGATAAAATTCATCATGAGTCAGGAGCAAAGTAGCATTTTGCTAGTCTGAAAAAATTGTTCAAATGATACATCTCTGATTCCCCTCTTGTGATTCAGTATGTACATAATTGTCATATGATTTTTTATTTTGTAAGGTAAAATATTTTTTTATGAGTGCATAATTTTTGTTGTTGTTGTTTTTTGAATATTAACTACACAGGGGAAGGGACCAGGAAACGGGACCTAGGCCTTGACAGATTCAAAATGACTACTTGTATGTAAAGATAAACTCTTTAAATGACCCTGTCCTGATCATATACGATAGTTTGTTGTTGACTTCAATATCCAGTCCAGGAAAGTCTGTTCTTAGTGGCCTTAAATTGACATTGTTATTGGTAATGACTTCTTAGCTCAGCCAGGATGACCTCTAGGACAGAATGTAATACCATGCAAAGAATATGCTTTAAATAACTGTATGGTCTTGACACTACTTCTCATATGAAATCAAAGTCTCTAAGGACTGGGCTGAACCACTCTGTTCAGGAGCTTCCAAGCTGTGAGAGATCTGTGAGAGTCGCTCATGTGTGTTAAGACTAAGGGAGAAAATCCAGGTTTACTGAAGAACCCAGATCACTTCCAGGTGATCCACATTAGAGGCTTGGTGATGACTTGTGCTTATCCTGGTTGCCAGATAGTGACCCAGTTCTTGACCCTTATTTCCCTCTATTTTCCCCAGTCGTGCAATTTTGAGAAACGGACGTTTACTCCTTGCGGATGACATGGGCTTGGGCAAGACCATCCAGGCGATCTGCATTGCTGCCTATTACCGAAAGGAATGGCCCTTGCTGGTGGTGACTCCTTCTTCCGTGAGGTTTACATGGGCAGAGGTACTGTGAGCTCAAGCATGGGCAGGTGGCCAGCAAAGGGCCTGTGTGATGGTTATACTGTATTGCCCTTTGTACAAGTTACATTTTTGAAAGCATTAAGGCAAAGAAACTAAAAATTATACCAATTTAGAAACTTGAAGTGGGGGAATTTTGACTATATGGTATATGCCTATTTTGTTTTATTGTCCGTTTTTCTTCTTGTTGTCCAGCTGATCTGTTGGAAAGAGGGAGAACTAGAGAAAGTATCTCCTCTGACCCTCTGTTAACTTTGTTCCTACGAGTCAGCTGGCTCCAAGGGGGCATTTTACTCATCAGTGTCAAAGATAATAGTTACATTCAAGCAATTGTCTTGTATTCAAGCCCATTGTAGCAGTATTCGCCCATTCTGGAACAGGGGCCCAGATGCTGGGATTCTCTGCTCTGTTCAAAAGGCCCCATTATCACCATCATTAAGTGTGTGTCATATTACGTCTTTTGGCCTGTCCACTGTAGGCTGCTGACTTCTCTGAGTCCTTAATTAATGTTGATCAGAGCCCAAGAAAGCTTGGATAGTTGGGAATGTGTCATGAAATAAATCACTGCCATGGCCTGTACACTGTTGGGTTGCCATAGGCTAGTGAGATGCTCACTGTGGGAGAAGAAGGTGAGCCAGAGGTTTTAGGTCAGTAAATTCATGCCAGAGCAGGAGGGGATGGGAGTTCAGCTTTTCCTGGAATATTGCATTGATGAGAAGAGTATTGGTTGGGATTTGCTGTTTTTGTGCTGTAACCAGGTTGTCAGAGCATCCTGGTGGGTGTTTTCACATCCAGTAGTGCAACAAAATGTAGGGTGAAAAGAAAAGGAAATGGGAGAAGGGAGTGATGCTCATCAGACTTGAAATTTCAAGGCCTGTAGACCTCTGAGACAACACCTAATCTGAATCCATCGCTTCTGTGGGATATCTACCAGGAACAATTTGAGGCTTGGTTTCCTGAAGTATTGGGCACCTGCAACTAAATTTCTACACTCTGCTTCAAAAGATTTAAGCAATATGAGGCATTTTTGTTTGTTTGTTTGAGTGCTTGATTTCTTCTTCCTTTCCCTAGTCCTGACTCCCCAGGAGGCTGTTGTAGATGTTTTGTTAGGTCATTTGCTTTAGATGTATTGCTTTTTGAGTATGCAAAGGATGCAGGTGTAAGAAAAATGTGTCACAGAAAGTGGAAATAGGTGAGATTTATTATAGTCTGTAATCTACTCAGTTCATTCTTGCACAGATGTGTTTTACTGTAATGGTAGAAGCTCGCTGGAGCCAAACTGGCAGAAATTTTCTTCATCTTAGAGTTATCAGTGGTTTATTTTGGTTTTCTGGGCTCAGGCCACGCAGTGACTTCATACTCGGGGTGCCATAGGAAGCTAGTGGGGAGATGCAAGGTACTCTTGGGTGAGAAGTGCTGCAGCCATGTGCATTTAGAGTTACGGTACTGAAACTTCATTATTTAATGGTCAGGGCAGTTTCGAAGCACCTCTTGTGGACCAAGGTCAGCGTCACTTTTGTGGTGTGAATTAGTCACATACCCTTTATGAAAGGAGAGGGCAGTACAATTAGGAGCTTCTGGATACTTTCCTCTTGCTGCCGCCTTTGTCTAAGTTTTGACTTGGCGCCAGCCACATGTTTTTTGGTTGGGATCTAACCTCTGTGTTGGCTTGTTTTGGTTGTGGTGCTTACAGTAAGTGGTGAAGCATAGTTAATTGTTACTTTTTCACACACTGAGAAATGTGAGAAGCTCTCATCTAACTAATTCCTTTTGCTGCTGCAAATGATTGCTGAACAGTGGAGGGGAACGGTGGTTGTGGTATTTCCACAGGCAGAGGGCCTAGAGACAGAGATGCCATTTCTCATCACCACTTCGTTACATTTCTGTAGGGACCAGATTCTGATGGCCAAAGTCTCAGACAGTTTTCTGCAGAGCAACATCAGCAGAACTCAAATGTTGCAGAGAGCTTGGTGTCATTTGGGACAAAATTACAAGGGAAATAAATGGTGGGTGGTCTGTGGCTAACAGATGGGTTTGGGGGAGGATATCTTGCTCTGGTGTGTGGAGCATTTCAAGAGGTTGATTGAATGACTATTACCACATGTATTTCAGCTGCTGTCATAGAGCATCTGGTGTGTTGTCAACTCGATCTTTTCATTTTTTATTTTTGTTTGGCAATTTTAAATTTTTTTTTCTGTAGACTTTTTAAGAAGAGGTAGTGGAAGAGTTTTGTTGATCTGGCTGAGTTGTACTTTATCGTCACTGTGGAGTAAACATTACTATAGTAATAGATGTTTACTGCTCAGAAGTCTGTGTTTCACAGCCTGAGGTTTCCTGTTGAGTAGGAAAACTAAATTTCCCTGTAAGTAGTGGTTGCATCATTCTCTGGCTCTGAGCATAGCAGGTAACATTGTCAGGAGGTTATTCACATTTCTACTACAGATCAGGGGCTTTGTTTGTTTGTTTTATTGGGATTTTTTTGTTTGTTTCTTTTTCTTTTGTTTGTCTTGCTTTTTATTTTTTCAGTAAAAAGAAAGAACTAGAGCATGTTTGAGGTTTCCTAGCTGTGGAAGGTAGATTTTGCCTTATAGCCTGAGTTCTGGTCTTGATCTTCCCTTTACTAGGGTGGTTGGGGGAAGGCTGCTTACCCTTACTGTGCTCCCAGGTGATGTCTTGTGGTGGATGGGGTGGCTCCAAGTTCTAAGTACTCATGAGGATATTCTGTGAAGTGCTTTGGGATCTTGAAAAAGAAGATAAGCACCAGAATGCAATTAATTTCTTTCCTCATCCTCCAGGCATTTCACAGGTGGCTTCCGTCCTTGAGTCCAGATAGCACTAATGTCATAGTGACTGGCAAAGACAACCTAACAGGAAGCTTGATCAACATCATCAGTTTTGACCTTCTCAGCAAGATGGACAAGCAACTTGAGAGCACATTCCAAGTAGTTATTGTTGTAAGTGGTACACTAAAATTTCCAAGTTAATTGTATGCTGCAAATGGGGTGACCTTTGTACAGCAGAGAAGTGTGAAGTGGGCCTTATTTAAGACTGAAACTATCTTGTAATTGTTCCATTGATCATAGCTGTCTTCATGAGTACAGGGAGGTTTCTCTGAAATTTTTTGAAATAACTAGTGGAGTTTAATTTTTTTTCTGATTCCTGATTTTTTACTGGTTCTGGTGCCTCTCATTGTGGTTGTCATGTCCTCTGCTGGAGAGAAAGGTGTTTAATATGGTGTGTCAATACAATAGCCCTGGAATTGTATCTTCTTAATGGGATTGGACTTCAGGGTGGTGTTACTGTTTATCCAGTAAACCAGATAACTTCTCAACATCAGTATGTGCATAAATGTCTAAAAAAATCTCCCTTTGCTTGTGTTCCACTGACAATCTGCATTAAGCCTTCTTTGATCACTTGTATCATTTCTTTTGTAAATTACTTCAAAATCCATTTTTTATCCTTTTACAGAGCCACAGTAAAAGGCGTTTTTCTGAATTTCAGTTACTAAAAATTCGAAACATCTAGTGTTTCAAATCCAGCTTGGATCAATAGAGAGCAAAAGTGTATAGGTAGCTTACTATGAGTGTTTGATGTTCTTAGTCTAGTTTTCAGCACACATGCACCTGTCCAAAGATCATGACAATTGGAACATGGTAATCCTTTTGTTTCTCAGCATTAGATGAGAATGTGGTAATAGGTGGAGTTCTCTGGAGACCAAACTACTCATGAGGGAATTGATTTTTTCACTTCACTTTTACGTTTTTTCCTCACACACTCTCTGACAAGAAATTACATTGCTTTTGTAGGCCGGGGGTGGAATTGGGCTCTACTGCCCTGGAACTTTTTACCAGCCCTGAATGTTCTTTCTCTGTGTTAATATGTTCAAATTTGGACCTTGTGTATGTTTTTACAGAAGAGAATAGTCCTACTGAGTACTGAGCTTTCCCGTTTTTATTTCCAATCTTTTATTGATGGTTGGGAACATTAATGTAGCTTATTTATTAATCGGGGGAGAAACCTGTGCCTGAGAGGCTAAGCAGTTTTTACATTCATGGTTGCTTGCCTCTACACACGTGGAAAGATGAGAATGTACCTTTGGAGGACACTGATTATTTTTTGTGTCTAAGTTCTGCCTTGCTACAGCAGTAGAAATGAAGCCTGTTTGAGGGTGATGTCTCAAGTAGGAAACTATTACCCACCTGGTGAGCCCTATCAGCAGAACAGTTGGGTCTTAATTGGATTTCTTTTTTTTCCTTATCAATTTCATTCACCCCTTATTAAGGGAACTGGCACTGTAGAGGCCTTCTATGTTTGCTGCATTTAAAGGATACATAGGGGCAAATGAGTACCAGTGGTGGAAATAATATTCCTTTCTCCTTCCCTCTCCAGCCCCCTCTGCTCACATGTTTTTTTGTGGTCATTTATGATTCATGGCTACCAGGTTTGGTTTCTGTTCCATTTGCTTGCAGTTTTGAATGTAGGAAGCCTGCTACTCTCCATCCTGCCTTTTTGTTTAGAATTTGATGTGACTATCCCAATGCCTGAAATATCCTCTGACATGAGAGGCTTGTAACGCTAGATAGCTGAGAATACTGGGAATTTGTTCTGTAACCTGCAGTTGGACTATGGATCAGAACTGACTTTGCTTTCCTGCTTGTTTTGTTTCAGGATGAATCTCATTTCCTGAAGAACGTAAAAACTGCACGGTGCCGAGCTGCCATGCCTCTACTCAAGGTGCGTGTGCTGGTGCCAAACCTCTAAGGGTCAAACTGCTGAGGTCAGGCTCCTGAGGCAGTGTTGCTCCATTTACCAGGTTTAGGAGCCAGCAGCTGAATTCTTGCATTGTTCAAGGGGAAATCCAGCTAATAGTGTAGATCCAAAAGCAAAATTTGTCTCTGGCTTTACTACTTGTTTCTATACAAATATGAGATGGCAAGACGTAACAAAACAACTTCAGAAGCTCCCTTGATCTCATTGTGGTACTGCCACTGATGAGTTTTATGACAGGAGAAAGGGAATATCAAAACTTACCGAATATATTCAGAGAGAGCAGAAAGAATCTAGTGATGTCAACACAGCTTGTTTAATGAAAATAATCATCAGTTACTTCTTAGCACACAAATTGCTTCTGTTTATAAGAATGACATTGCCTAGGTCCCTTCCTAGGCTTTGGTTTAGGGCTCTAGTCTGTTACTGCAAGCTTCCAATGTATTTGTATGGCTGGGGCTCAGGATCATTCCTGCTGCTTACACGTACAGAACTACTAGGAAATGGCAAAATGTGAGGTTAGCAAGACAAGTGGCCCACAGAAGGGAGGCAATAGTCAATTATGTGATAACAGAAGAAATGCAAGTTCTAATGTTTTCCTGTTGTCCTGGGATCAAAGAATCAAACTCTCCCCGGTAGCCTCTAACAGATACAGATTAAAGTTATGAGTAGTTTCTAGACACTGCAGAGTCTGTACATTAGAAGAAGGTACATGCAGTTCCTCTTCAGCAATTAATCAGCAAGTATGTATAAAGAGAAGATTCGATCTGTGATGGCTTTATAGCAACCAACTTTCATATGCAAGATTCTTAATGGTAAACTGAAGGTGGTTGTCCTTGAATAATTTCTTTGTTCTCCTTAAAGGCCTGACTCTTGTCTTCTCTTGGTTTTCAAATCACTTCAAGGCTTTTAATGTTTGGAAACTAAGTAGGAGGTCGAATTTTAAGAGCAGTTTGAAATACAGTAATTAAGGTATCTGTCTGAAAGTGGTGGAAAATAACAAATGTGCCTCATTGCAAAATGCTCAAAAAGCTGCCTCATCCTTTCCTACATGAAGCTTTGTTAGGATCAGCTTGTCAGAATTATTTGCAGGCTGCAAGATATGAGAGTGAAAGATGGTAGCTGTTAGGCAGAGGTTAATTGCCTATATGCACTTACTGAGAATTTACAGTTTTATGCTGTCACATCACTGGTCTTAAAGAATTGAGAACTGATGCTTCCAAAACTGAGTTTCATGTTCGTATCATGCATTATCTCACCTGCACTCAGCATGCAGTACCAGATATTTTGTGTTAGATGTTCAGGTAAATTTTATTCTCCTGCTTGCTGACAATAACTTCTGACCTGAGTATTTGCTGTAATAGTCACTTTTCTGCCCTCCTTCCTTTCCAACATAGGGATTTTGCTCTAAAACTAGCCCCTTTGGCAGCTTTGTCTTCAGCTCCTAGGGAGTGATGCTGTGTTCACTACTGGCACAGCACATCACACCAATGCTTTTGTTTATAAAGAACTGCCAAAATATCAGGAGCTTTCATCACTTGAATACTAGATTTAACAACTATACTCTCATTTGACAATGGGTTAACTATGGAAGTATTTTCAGTATTTTACATGATTCTTTGAGATTATTGAAGAAGAAGCATTGATAAACATGCTGCTGTGGATAATATTCTTGCTTTCCTTCTTTATGTTAAAAGGATTAGAGCAGTACTGGGGCTCTTAGAAGAGACCAAAAAAAGGGATATCCATAGGCAAGTCCTTGATAAGTAAACTGCTTCTAGCACCTCATCCCTACCTTAAGGTCCTGATGTGAAGCTGTGCCAGTGCTGTATCCAGAGCCCCTGGAGCTATCTCCTGCCTTGTCTGTCTGCCTTTTAAGCATTGCTACTTTTAACTGTTGTTAGCATTTTACTACTTTAAACTGTCTGAAATTGCCTTAGTTGCTTTCTATTCCTATGAGGTTCCCCACATCCTAAAGCATGAAAGCGTAGCCTTGAACTGACTTTTAGGGACAGAAAAAAAACCACACCTAAGAAATGTGATCCTTGGTTCTTACACGCTACAAAGACTTATGAGTCCATAATGACACTGGACAGATCTAAGTTAAAATGTTTTTGAGCCAGAAATATTTCTGTCACTTCCATCCATACTTGTTATCCTGATAGAATTTGCTCTTATGACTTCTCCATTTGAATAATAAATAAAATACATAAGTTGTTGTAAGTGTTCATACAGAACTTTGCAGTAATCAGATTAAATCAGTACATTCGTAATAAAGATGACTTACCTTGGATACTAATTTCAAATCTGTCTTGTTAGAAAGCCAAACTGAACCTCCACCTCTGAAGTATTTAACCCATGGTTACAGCATTTAAAGCCTCATTATAGTTTTAATATCTGACATTGACCCGTTTTCAAAATGAAATTCAATAATAATTGAATTCAAAATGAAATTCAATAATAATTCATCTTTTCCTGCTCTCTTGTATATATTGCAGTAAAAGTGTGGTATGGAATTCTCAAGCAAAGCCATGTATTAAACCTGTGACCTAAGTTTGTCAGTTGGGGACTTCTGGACATTTTTTTTAATACTAACAAAAGCCACAAACTCTGCGTGTGCAGTACTCTGTATCTTTTCTGACGTACTTGGTTGCTACCCTGACAGAGATCTAGAACAGTTTTGCTTGAGACAATGGGAGCTATGACCAGAAGAACTTTCATAATGACTGGATGTTTGCAGTGGCCATGCTCACTGCCTCAGCCTGCCCCAGGCTGTCATTAGTTTAGAAAGTAGACAGACATGCTGTGCCCAATTTATTGTTACTGGACAGAACTTTGAGAGGAACTTTTAATTGCACAAACAGTAAGAGAAGGTGAAATAGCAGGAGCAGCAAGATGTTTAGGCCAGATTTCTTACTCCCTTCATGTTCCCAGTGGATGTGCAAACTTGTGGGTGTGCAGACTCGTACGTGGGGGAGAATGCTTCATCTGCCTGCGTGGAAGCAGGTGGCAGAGTTTGTACACGGTCTGTGTGCATCCCTGCGAAATTATGGAGCAGGATGGTTTGAAAGCTGTAGTAGAAAAAAGTCCTTTGATCGTGTGGCAAAACCCCTGCTTTCAAGGTCAGCCAGCTTTCACACTGGCTGGTCTGTTCCAGCAGCTGTGTGAGATCTGTCCTCAGCTGCAGCACCTCTCACAGCTCTCAAGAGGGCTAGAAGTTACTGTGCTCCAAGTGGTCCTTTTGTCCTGTTTCCATGGACATCAGAGTGAGAATGGCTTCATCCTGTTGGGCTTTGGCTAAGTCATCAAAAGGCCTGGTTAGGCCTGGATTGTTCTTGCCCCTTTTGAAAGCTATGGCAATTGGTAATAGGACCTACTTGTCATCTTGCTGTTTTCTGTAGTCTCATGTTTGTGACTAAATTCTCCTGGATATACTGACAATACTGGTTGCTCCCTTCACCTCTGCCCTGCATCTGCCTCCTTCAGAGGCAGAGAGTGACAGTGGTGTTACACCTTTTGTAAGTATTTTGTTTTTTCCTTCCAAGATTAGACTGACCCAGAGACATGAACATAGGAGAGGGAGCATATGTGCTACCAGTCTCTTAAAACAGCAAAGCCTCAACAATGTAGATGGAGAAGAAATAGCAAAACAGAAGTTTTTCATTGGTCTGTAGTGGGATCTCTTAGGGACCAGATTGAAAAGGATTCTTTCTACCTCTTCTGACCAGCCAAAGTGCTGCATGGCCTTTATTCTTCTGTAGTTGCATGGAGTACTGCAATGCAGTGGAAACTGGGGAAGGTCCCAATGGAAAATGGCTGAGTTTTATGGAAGCGTGACAGTAACTAGTGAAGAACTGGGATATAAATTGAGAAATAAAAGGTAATATCTAATAAAAAATTCCAGTAGCATTAAATATTCTTATTCCCATTGTGCTCTCTATGGGCATTGTTCTCCAACATTTGAGTAATATTAATAATGTGACTGTTCCCACTGAGCTGCTGTTCTAGGTAATAGCATGATGTGCATCCTGATGTTTGCAGTGTTAAAGGTCCTTGGTTTTGTTATGGGAGTCAAATGCACCCTTTGTGCTTGTTTCAATAGAGCAACTTAAAAATGATGAAGGGAAACAGGTCAGTGTTAAAGGTAGAAGGTGAGGAGAAAACACAAATTTCCCTCTCCAGTGGGAAATAAACAGCAGTTGTCTTTAAGTCTTACATATCTGTATGGATTAGATAAATAAGCCTTTCCTTGTCACCTGCTGAGAGAAAGAACTTCATCTTGAAACTGAAGAAGCCCTCAGGGCTGCATCTTCAGATCTGCTCTTACCCTGCAATTTCCCTTTCTTCTTGGAATAAGAAGGTAGTGTAATTTGCTTCAGTCATAGCTTATCACTGCTGTTTGACACACATTGTCTGTCTAGATGTCACTTAAGAATAGGGAAAAGTATTTATATTTTTTGGAATAACTACTGTAGGATTATCTTATGAAATCCACAGCCCTATCTACCTTGCCCAAGTACAGAAACAGATTCCTCAAAACAGCTGCTACTTTTTCCCTTTATCAAATCTTCTACTTCATCAGGTGATTATCTCTATTATATTATGGCCCCCCTCAGATATTTCTTTTCAGAGGATAAGCTATTCTTATGCTAAATAGTTCAAAATGACACAATAAGCAAAAACTGGGGACATTAGTTATTGTACAGCCAGAACCCAACACACTTACTTAAAAAAATGTCAGTCTTTTAGCATATGGCAGAGCTCATGCTGTGAAATTCATTTAACACAGAGACAGTCATTGTATGTTAACGAGGCTCTTTGCATGTTCAATTATTTGTTTGTCGAATAGCCCCTTCTCCTCACCTATTCCGTTTCAGATTGGTTGATTGCTGCGTTTTGACCTCTAAAGTAAGTGCCATCATTTTACGAATTATTCTTTGCCTTTCAAAAATGACTTTTGTAAATGTTCTCACACTTGTGGAATTAATTCTTGCTGATGTATTGTGTAATGCTACAAAGCCATATTTTTCTGCAGACCAGGTCTCCACTAGCTCCGTGAACTCCATACCTAAATTCAGCTGAGCAGCTAATGTTAGTTCTTCTATGTAGAAATACATATCAATTGCTTACAGATCTGATTTTCCTAGAAAGTCTTTTCTGGTCCCTGCAATCTTACTTTCTGTGGTGGTGTTCCATATTATTCTTACGGACCTGAGAAGGAACAGGCTAAGCTCTCACTCTTGGCAGCCCAGAAGGTTCAGCAGGAAACAAGAATTAAGCAGTGATCAGCAGAGACTTTTCTGCCAGGGCAGATTTTTATTGACATCTATTCAAAATGAGTTTCCACTAGAAAAAAAAAGGGAATCAAAGCCATTTCTTTCATCCAAAATTTAAGTCAGCCTTTAGCACTTGGAAATTTGTCTTCCTAGGATTTATTTTCTCCTGTTCTTTCTTGAGCTCCATCTGTCATGGGTTTTAAAACTGAAAGGTACCTTTGGGATAATGAGTTAGACCACCTATGTTGCAGAGTTTTCTGGAATTAATTTCTCAACTTCTTCCCAGCTCATGTAGAGTCACTCTCTTTTGGGGGTTTTGTTCATTTTTTTGTTATTGTTGGGGTTTTTGTTGTACTCGTGGGACTCGCTTGTCTTGTGTTTCAGCAGATTTCTCAGGGTGGTATCAGTTTGCTCTTCAAAGGCTTCTGCGAGGCATCAGATATTGTCTAGGTTCTGTTCAGTTGTTTTCCAGAGTTACCTTAATTTTAAAAACTGACCTAATTTCTGCCTGATCGTTTTGTTTCCTCGTGGCATCTGATATCTCTGGTCTCTGTGAGTCCTTCCTCCTTTGAGTAGCATAGGCACCTCTGTCTTGGGCAAACTAACTCTTACCTTCTGACATGTCCAGAGGTTTGACCTCTCTTACTCAGTTCAATAAACATCCTCCTTTTTTTAATGTTCATGGGAATTGTCTGATCCTGGTGGTGGTCACATTTCTTTCTGATCTGTTTAATAGAGATGACTGGAGAAGGCAAGTCCCACATTGATCATAACCTATATATAAATAGCAGATAGAGTTCTGAAATTAATTTCCGGTAGCTGATCTGTGAACTCTTTTTCCACCAAATTGGGTTGGCAAGTGGATGAAACAGCTGAATAGAGCTGGGTGACTTGTTGATCTCAGTGAAGTGATAAAAGAATTTCATTTTCCTTTTCATTTAAATGTGAATGAGCTGTTGGTACAGATGTCACTCAAGAATTTCTTTGTTATTTTAATGAACCTGCATTAAACCATGCAGGAAATTGCAAGGCATATATTTAAGTATTATATGTGAATTTACAGCAGTAGAAATTCATAGCTCTCATCTAATAATAGAATTAGGTAATAGTGAAAGTATGAAAGTAGAAGTGCATCTTGGAGACTTTCATGTCTATAGTGTAATTTTTTTCCTTCACTTTTTAGGAGCACCTACTTTACGTACAGGTTTCCCACCTTCTTCCTGTCTCCCCTACAGCATGTTTTACAATCTTCTTGCATGATTTGTGTTTATTGAGTCATATTCTAGCACACAGCCAACTGTGCCTGGACTCATCATGGCTGTCAGATCTTCTCGTCCTGCTTCAGACAGCTTCATCTTTTTCTCCTTGTAGTAGAATTTTAAAAAATGAAAAAAGAAGTAAGAAAAAAAATCCTATCTCTTTGTATCTCTTCTGCTTTTGTTAGAAAGACAGTCTGCTTATGGCTTGCTGTGGCAACGTTATTATGAGAGAATTTATTTTGGGGGTGGGGATGTACCTGAGAGGGTGTGTCATGTTCCTATGACATCTGATGCCAAATTAAATGTTCAGCCAGGCTTAAGATATTAATGTGTTTAGTGGGTAAAGGACAGTTCAGAAAGTACTGTAATAAAAATGGAATGTCCCCTTCCCTAACAGCATGTGGATGTTTAATAAGAAACTGTATGGTTTGTCCTGCTCCCTAGAAGTTTGAAGCACTGTCCTTGAGTGTCTGCAGGTAGTGATGGCTGAAAGTATCTGTGGAAGGTGAAATACTCTTCCATTTAGCGTCCTTGAACAGGGGTCTGGGGGTTTTTGGGGACTGGGGTCATTACTTAGATTTGCCTTATATTGTAAGCTGTATGAAAATGATGCTGCTTTGCTTTCCCAGGCTGCCAAGAGAGTGATCCTGCTTTCAGGAACCCCTGCCATGTCACGGCCAGTGGAGCTCTACACGCAGATCGCGGCTGTCCAGCCATCCTTTTTCCCACAATTCCACTCCTTTGGGCTACGCTACTGTGATGCCAGAAAGGTACTTCAGTGGGGAAAGTGGCAGACTGGGACTCTGCAAACAGCACTGTATTTTATTCAAAATGTGGAGGCTTTTTCTTTTCTTCCTTCTTCTTTCTGCCTGATGTTACATCTTTTCTTTTGTGAAATCCTCGCTGCAGAGTAACATTTTAAAAGCTCTTAAGCTGAGAAGATCTAGAACTTGCAGTGGTGGGCCTGAGACACAGAGGCAGTGATGTTTCTTGTCAAAATCTGCCATGGAAGCCATGGAAATAAAAGGTTGGAAGAAAGAAGCAAATACAGCCATAACTGGTGAAAGGAGCCTATTCTGATAAAATCTTGCCCCCAGAGTGTTTTAAATGTGCAGAGTAATATGGAGCCTCTAAGCAGCTGCAGGTTTGGGCTAATTGGTTAAAAATCAGAAAACCAAAATTCCAGTTTCTAGTCTGCTTTAGTCACTTTGATAAAGGCCTGTGTTGCCTGGGATTTTGGATTTTATACCTCTAAGTAATTAAAAAAAGAGGAGTTCTAGTCCACCTTTGTATTCTGCTCTTCTAATTCAGGAAATGGGTGTGATCCCCAGCATATCTTGAAAATAACTCCTCTGCTAGTTGCTCAGCAGTAGTTTCCATAGAGTCATTGAGTTCAACCACTGCAAGATCTTGGTTTTGCAGGAAGCCAGCATTTGCAGCCATGATGGCAGGTGTCTGCCTTGCTGCCAGTGTATGGGCAACTCAGCTGTGCTTGGATTTCCATCTCTAGGGCTGCTGTGTGTATTGGAACACACACTGCTAAAAAAACAGCTTCTGCTGCTGCTTGTTGTACAAGGAGGCTCTGGGATCTTCTGTGCTGGTTGCACAGACACAAAAAGGAAACCAAAGTTCCCCTGAGTTCTGATTTGGAACAAGAGCCCTCTAATCTGTCTTGCTCTCCAGTTCCTCCAGGACAAACATCGAGTAGTTAGCACATGGCACAGAATGGCTTGGCAGCGTGAGGATGCACCTGTAGCACAAACTTGCACACTCTGCTTTTTTCTTGAGTAATCCATTTAACTTCTTGTGCCTCACTGTCTGTAAGACTGGGAAACAATTTTCAGCAGAGTGGCTGGAAACACTGAATGACCATTTCATGTTCAAAAATTTTTACTGAAGAACTGAACATCATCAGTGTATGCCATGAAAATAGTTACAGCTATTTGTAGGGCTTTTGTGTTCGTTTTCTTTTCTGTTTGGGGTAGCTAACATATACCAAGTTTCCCTCAAGAAGATTCTTATTGCAGTCCCATATAAAATTCTTGAGTTCCTTTTTTCCTAGGTCTGAATGCCCACTTACTTTTGCTTTCATAGCTAGTGTAGTGTTGTTCTATGTATGTCCAAATGTGCAACCCAGAGGAGCAATTAATTGGCTTTGGTACTTGTGTGCTGATGCTGTTTATTAGATTAAGGCCATTAGCATGCACGATCATGGATACAGAGGTGGAGTTCCTAGACTCCATCCACAGTAGGAATCATATGGAGAGAGAGGGTCACATCTTCTGCTGAGCTTCATTGTCTTTATTGAAAGATTCCTGAGTAGTGTTCAGAATGCTTCCTAGAGGAAAATGAAGAGATACAGTTCAATCTTGTTGGGTTTCTGCAGTAAAAAGGAAAGCTGATTTGCAGCATGTGAGTCTGAATAGGTTTGGAGTTTCATAAATCCTTTAAGGGTAAAGTTCTGCATGACTACTTGTTTCTTCAGTTATAAGGCACACAGACCTCAGGTAGGATATTGGACATAAGAAATAAAATAGTTTTACGTGATGCAGGTTGTAACAGTGTACTCTGTGTAAATGAGTTTTCAACCTGTGGTGAAACGCAGCATGGAGAGGTCACAGTCTGTATCAGCCTCCCTTCAAAACCTCTGCAGGGTTTCTAGTACAATTTTGTTTCTCTGTTTGACCTGTCTCTGCTAGACAGTTGAACGTTGCTGGTCTTCTCCATGCTCATCTGGGATATTTTTCTGCAGTTAATGCCAGTAAATGATAGAGTGAACACTGAAAGAATTTGGTTATTTGGAGAAGTGGGGCTGGTGGGAATGAAGAGGAAAAAATGGGACTGCTGAATATTGGATTGCCATAGATCCACTCAGCAATGAATAAATTTAAAAGGTGTTTTGATGACTGGAGTTGTTCTTTCATGACTGTAGTAGGGTGTCCCTCACGTTCCTTTTTGCAGCTCTAACCTGAAACTGTGTTAGGAGTTACATCCTCTCTGTAGAACTGTTGTGGTATTTCTGCTGTCATTACTTAAATATGTCCTTCTTTCTGTCCTGAAAATAGCAGCTTTATGAGTGGAGATGGAATTGCACAGAGCCAGAGAGGTTTTGCAAAGCTTTTGAAGATCTGTCAGGATGAAAGGTGCTATGTAAAAATGTTTTGGTATTAATAATAAATCCGATTGCATTATAAGGTTAAAGAAAAATTGGCGAACCTGAACCATTCAACTTAAAACTAAAGCCTGACTGGTTCCTGTTTCAAGATAATAGATTTTACGACAGAAAATTACAAATATCTGGCAGATTTTATTAGAAAAGATACAGAAGTTTATAATTTTGTAATTCAACCCCCCAGCATCTGTATTCTTAAAAATACAGCAAGTGAAACGTCACCTGTTATTTACAAACTATCTCAAGTCTGTTTCCCAAAATACATGCTCTGAATTCATTTTTCGAACTGGGTGATGTTGGCGAATATTAAATAATTTCTATCTGAGCACATGCTCTGAATTTGTAAGTTTGGCAGCTTCTGCTAACACTGTAATAAGTTTACTGACTCATGTAAGATGCTGTAACAGTTTGGTAAGAAAATCACAGTTGGAAGCATGTGTTCTGGAATGTTATGGATCAAAGCCAGATGTGTATTTTGGCAAAATACATGTCCCTCTTTTTTTCCTCTTTTCCACAATAGGGTATACTAAACTTAATTCTAATAATTCCAAAAATAATTATCTTTTTACCACTAGCTAGGTGCAGCACAGAGCTAGCATGTTTCCTTGTTTGCAAGTTGTTCCAGACCATAAAAGAAATATATAATCTGAATGTACTGTAGGGACTCTGCCTGTATGTGCTTTTTAATATCTCAGTAGATGGTATATTGGCTCTGTGTTTGCCTTGTTCTTTCTGTGACAATGATGTTGCTCTTCTGAAATGAATTGGGCTACATGGACACAAAGCATATGTATTAACTTGCTTGTTATGGAAGTGGAAAGTGGACAAATATGAGCTGTATGAGTAGAATGAGGCAGCCTGAGGAGTGTCCAGACCCCACAGTAGGTCTTGCTGAGTAGCCTAATCTGAGGTGATCTCTACAATGTAGCTCCCAGTGCACTGAGCAGTGTGGGCAGTGGGCTTAGGGGGCTGGGCACAGTGCAGGGGGTTCCTCCTTGGCTCTGTACAGCTGCTCTGCTGGGCCCGTGGAGCCTGAAGAAATGCAGAAAAGGAGCACAAAGACTGTGGCTTAGCAATGTCAGCTTTCCTGCAGAGTGCCTAAAGGTAATAAGCCCAGCTAGACTTGAGCTGGCTCTTCACAGGCCTGAGGGATGTATCTTGCACTTCTGGTTTCAGGGAAGCAGAGCAGGGATACCCATGTTGGCTTTTTGAGGGGTTGGCTGAGATCCAGGTGGGTTTATTACCTCTCACTGTAACCACTGTGCTGTTGTCAGAGCCAAAGTTTTAATTCTACAAGATTTAAAATGGCTTTGTGTCTGGGGTTTGAATTGTTTCTTGCTTTAATGAACCAACTGTAGCTAATCAGATGGTACCATAATTATGTAGGAATAGATTAAGTCAAATGAGTTTTAATGGTGGCCATAAGTTCCAGAATCTGAAGTCAGTTAATGGTTCTCATCAGTACAACTTGGCAATAGAATTGCAGATTGTCCTGTTTTATCTCAACCTGAAGTAGAAATGTTCACTTCCAGATATCAGAGAGGTCTTACTTGCCTATAAGCTATTGGATTCGTCCTCTTCCTGTCCCACAGCATATTCTCATCCCTGTTTCATCAAAGCACCACCTCTTAATACAGTCAGAAATGTGATTAACCCCATGGTTAGTATGATTTGGTTTTTGTCTCACACATTCTGTGAGAGGACGGAGGGTGCAGCGAACACTTCAGAGTTTACTTCCGTTTCTGTGTTGCAGCAGGTTTCTTTTGGGGAAAACAAATAGAAGAGATATAGATTTTTAAGGTTAAATCTGTTTTAGCAATTAATGTGACACAATAAGAGTAGAGCAGTAGATCAAAGGGGTCGGTGCTGAGGCTCCCCACACCTCCGTTGTATGCATTTCAGGAGCAAATTTGCATCCATATGCAGTGGTTTACTTTGGATTGTTATTCCAAGACCAGAGGTTGTATTTTTGGACACTGTCAGTATGGCTTGGAATTAGAGCTGTGAGGAAGATTTCACCTCCTTCCCCACCTTGGTTTTTAGTATTACCAAAGCTGTATTTCCTGCCCTTACTTGTGAAATTTCAGCAGTAAGGCTTTTCTTTTGCCTTTGCTTGAGCATTAAAACTTTATGGGCCTCTTCTCCAAAAGAAAGTTGTTTACAGATGCTTCTTTTGGGAAATGTACCAATTTTGATGCCACTGTGTGTCAGCTTAGTTGTTCTTTCTCAGAGAACAAATGATAGACTGTGGAATTACAAGTAGGAGAAGTGATGAGCTGAGATTAATTGAACAGATGTGTATTGCCTGCAGACAGGATCTTAGAGGATAGGGCATGTTCAGAGGGGAGTGTTTCAAGGAGTAAATGAAGGGCTTGTTCAGAGGAGCTTTGAGGTGATGATACTTTGAAGAGACAATGTTTGGAGTGATGTATTTTGGGCCACAGTTTATTTATGGTTTTGCTTGAGTTTGAACCAGACATGTAATGGCAGAAACAGAGCATATCAGGAAGTGGATGAAGAGTCAGGTCACAGTGGAATATAGGCAATTCTGACCTGGCACGGCAGACAAGTGTAACAACTCTGTGAAGGCATCTGGGTTAAGGATGTTTGTCCTCATGCTGTTAGAGGTGGTTTCTACGTGTCTCTCTGCTTAAAGCTGAGGTTAATGTGCATGCACAGAACTGCAGTGAGTTCTCCTGGCCTGCTCAAAGCTGCAAGTGGAGAGCAGCACCTTGCTGTGTGAGGATGAATACCCGGGCATAGTGCTGCAGTAGGGATCCCTGCCACCTTTCTGTGTAGTCCTCTTCCCTGCACCTCCCTGAGCACTTTTAGATAGGGGAATTTGTAAGTAACCTTTTCACCTTGGGTGGCCTTGTCCAGTTGGATATTTATTCTGCTTTTGGATTGCTTGCAGACCAGTCTCTTGTAAGCTTGACACTGATAACTGCTTTGATCTTTTCCAGATGCCATGGGGTTGGGACTACTCTGGATCATCCAACTTAACTGAACTGAAAATTTTGCTGGAAGAGTCCATCATGATCCGACGTCTGAAATCAGATGTGCTTTCCCAGCTTCCAGCAAAGCAACGCAAAATGGTTGTGGTGGCTCCTGAGGGCCTTAGTGCAAAGACCAAAGCTGTCTTGGAAGCTGAAGCAAAGAAGATGGCCAAAGGCTATAAAAGTGTAAGTCAGAAACTATTTTTGTGATGAGCCATTGCTATTTCAGGTACCTTAATTCAAAAACATCAGTTAAAAACAGTACCTGAGTTCCAAAGAAGGTCAGGGCCACACCTTCTCTGAAGGCACAGTTTCAAGTGAATGTACAGCACAATCAAAACTGTTCATCTTGGTTTGCTTTTGATGTAAGTGTTCTGCTTTGTCCCTTTGTGTGAAATACCATTTCCTCCCTTTTTTTCTCTGTTGTTAATAACTTCTAATTGTCTTTCATATCTTTTGCATCCGTACTTACTCTTCTGTCTAGCCCTGTCATCTCATTCAGCCTATCAAAACACAGCCTTGTTAAAGCTGTGTTGTGAACAGAGCAGTAGCCAAAAATGTGAAGAGTGTGTTTTTACTTCTCGTTTGTTCTCCGAGTATGGATGGTAAATGCATGTCCTAGGCTCCTAGGTTGCTAATACAGTTCTGTAAGAACTTAGGAGTTTTTCCTTGCTGCATTTGTGATATACTTGTCATGCAACTTGTAGGAGTTGAGTAGGAGGTAGAAAGGGAGGTGTCAGGAATGTGTGAGTATCTGCCATACCCAGAGGCGAGTAGGAGACTTCCCCCTCCAGGCTTCTATTGTTGTGCATTTTATGTTGATTTTTTTTTCCTAGCAAAGTGTTTATTGGCAGCAGCAGACATCCCAGATCTGTAAGCAAGTAGGAGAAAAGGCATTTTTGAGACTTGTATTCGTTTCTTTTCTCTTTACAGAAACAACAGGAGACGGAAGCTCTTCTCGTCTTCTTCAACAGAACGGCAGAAGCTAAAATCCGCTCAGTCATGTAAGCTGTGTGTCACTGCTCCATTCCTGCCTCGTGAAATGTGTTTGTCTGCTGAGAACAGGAAACAGTGCCTTAGAGATAACAGTACAGGGACATGAAGCATAGCCTGAAGTCAGCCTAGAAAAAATTGATTTTAATTACAATGCACTAAACATTTTCTCCTCTCAGAGTTCCTAGGCTAAGTCTTCTGATTTCATTCCAGATATGGATCTAAACTGTCATTTGAACCATCTAAAATTACTTGGTGTTTGGGACTTGGATCAAGTTCCCTGATCCGGACCCTATTTCAGTTTAAGGAGGGAGGGAGCAATGAAACTTAAATATCAACAGAATAATTTGAGGAAACAAATGCTGCAGTCCTGCTGCAGCAGGAACCCTGAATCAAAAAGCTTCTGAGATAGATTGAACTGAAGCTGGAATGTGCTCGAAGAATCTCACAGCCCCTACTGAAATTCTTGGCTGTTCCACAGTGCTCACATGGGACCTCAGCAGCAAGTTTTGTACCATAGGTGTGCTTTTAACTCTCTTCCCTAGGAGTAATTTCCTTCTGTGACTTTCTGTGCCCATTCATCCTTAGCCTTTCTGCGGGGGATGCAAAGGAGTTGCTTTAGGTCATTTAGTGTAACTTTCTAATAAGCAGTATGATAATAACGTGAAAACAGTTTACTTTCCACAGCTCTCTGAATGTAAGGACCAGCTGATGTGCACTGTGTGGTTTCACAGTCTCAGACCTTGTTGCAAAATTTGCCTGTTTGGCACAGAACTGCACTTCAGTGTCCCAGTGCTCATTTCTGTAGAAGAGTTTCTTCCTTTTATGTTAGTGAACAGTTAGAAGACTTTCTTCTTTTTATTTCAGTTTCAAATATGAACTGAATGTAAAACCATGAAGTGTTGTTTACTTGGCTCTCTGGTAGGAACTTGTCCATTTTTTTCTGGGGTTTAGGAGCATTTAAAATATCACTTACTATAAGCTGCTAATACTAAGATAATAGTACCATCTAGGTAATGGTACTGTCCTATGATCATCAGCACTTCCCGTATTTTACCCTTGCTGACAGGTCTTCCATTGCCTCCATTGAAATGACTTGCCATTTGTTAAATGGAATATGGGAATGAGGTATAAAATAATTGTGATGTGTTGGTTGGCATCTGCTTACTGCACTGAATGTTTGCTTTGATGTTTGTTTTAAAATCCAGCAGTCCCACTTCCCTCCCAGACTTCTTTGTTAAATGATGCTGTCAGTAACTGGGATCTGAACATCATGAACCGTGGGGGTTGTCTGGAAAGAACTGATAAATCTTAATACAGCACTGGAAATCCTGCTTGGTGCTTTCTGACAGTTGCTGCTGACCTGAGTTGTGTTGTATATAGCAAAGAGCTCGCTATTCCTGATCTTCCTAACAGTTTTGCTATTCCAGAAAAACGATGACATTTGTGCCATCTGTACAGGCTCCAGCTGACCTGATTGCAACACAGGCTACCACATGGGTTCTATAGATTTGCTGTTAGTCCATGGGAAAAGCCAGATGTTTTCATTTAATTAACACCTCTTAACTGCATTTAAAAGGAGACTTGTTGGCTTTCATTGGCCATTAGCCTATATGCATATGGATAACTCCTAGAAATAGATGATGTATTTAGATTGTTAAGCTGGAGTAAATTGTCAGTGTGAACCCTTGCGAGAAGGGTACTTTTAGGATATTCCGATCTATGTGCTTAGAGATCTTTTCTTCTAAAATAAAAACAATCCTTACTAAACACAGAAAGTATAATTGCATATAGCATATTTTACTGTATTGTGATTGTTTAAAAATTAGAAATACAGATGGATGAGTGAGATTGTCATTAAGTATAGATGACCTTCAGTTGATTGGTCTGGGATGTCACGTTTCAAGTAGGATATAATAAACTGATTCTCATTAATCCCCAAGTATAAATGTAGGCAGCTGTTCAGGTGTGGTGATCAAAAAATGAGTGAATTTTCCTTCAATGTCATTTTTAATCTATAGGAGACTTGACTTGCTACTTGCACTTTACTGCGGCTTTCTTTATGCTAGACGGTGTCCTAGTGCCTGTGTGTAGATGAGTAGTATCTTCAAAATTTGTTGTGAGCCAGGTCTGTATTCTCTCAGCACATAATTTTATAGAGTTTTCATATTTTTCCTCTTTCATGTAGAGAATACATCCTGGAGTTACTGGAAAGTGGGAATAATAAATTCCTGGTGTTTGCTCATCACAAGATAATGCTGGATGCAGTAGTTGCAGAGCTGGAGAAGAAAGTAAGTGACTGAGTTGCCTTAACTTTATCATTGTTCCAGCCTCAGAGCTGTTTAAGAGCTCCCTGGAGTTATGGCTGGTCAGATAGTTTATGAAAGTTAGTAGCAGAGATAATTTCTACTTGCTGGGCATCTGAATGTGCCCTTCACCAAGGGTGCTGAGCTGTCAGGGTGAATGCCTCACAGAATGCACTTTGTATTAATGTTCTTTAATCTCCATCATCTTCCCTGGACCTTGTGAATTCCTGGAGGACTATCGTCTTGTGTGGCACTCTCTGCTTTGTCCTCTAGGCTTCCCTCAGAAGGGAGAATGCGACATCCTGAGCCCACTATGGCTCCTGCCTTTACCTCTGTGGTGCTCTTATGTTTTTGAACTGGAACACTGTAGGGAGACTCAGCAGACCTGCAACTCATCACTCTTGACTCCAAAGTTCTTTGGCTAGTTTTTCATTTGAGACTTCCATGGATGCTCCTAAAGAGTTGTGGGTCCTGCTGGGGCAGTGTGAAGAATGGTTTAAGATAATATTCCAAACTGTAAACCACAGTGGCAGTGGTGACTTTGCTCTATGACAGCATTGGACACTGAAGAGTTACGGCCCTGCATCACACAGGTTTGCCATGCCTGTCCTGAGCCTGCCACGGAGCAACTGAGATATCTTCACATCTCCTCCCACTGCAAATAGGGGAATATTTAGGGAGTTTGGGGACATGGTACCAGCTGCAACTTCAGTGCAGAGACAGTGTTTAGCTTTGTATTAAGCTAGTTGCCTTTCCGCTGTATCTGAGGTTGTTGCTGTTGTTGCTGTTGTGCTGGACTGTGGGAGAGGAATGGGCATGGGAGCAAGTCACGCACTGGACAGAGGGGGAGGTGTGTTGTATATACTGAGCTACAGTGCTTCTGCCTGAAAGATGAGGAAAGGTCTTAAAAATATAACTGTTGCCTTTTTACTTTTCTGGTTCTGCCATGAGGAAGGGAAATGGTATCCACTAAGACATGGAAGGAGTATACGGGAAAGGGGACAGAAAGTCTCTAAACAGTACCTTGTGCCTTTTCACAGCACGTTGACTACATTCGCATCGATGGCTCCACTCCTTCAGTCGAGCGTCAGTCTCTGTGCCAAAAGTTCCAGTTCTCAGAGAAGCAGGTTGTGGCTGTCCTTTCCCTCACTGCTGCAAATATGGGCCTTACGTTGTCTGCTGCAGACCTGGTGGTGTTTGCAGAGCTCTTCTGGAACCCAGGGGTAAGCGTCCTGCAGGGACAGGGGTTGGATGCTCCCTGGAGAGCAGACACATTGCTGATTAGGAGATATAATGGGCAGGGGACTTCCTCTAGGGTTTTTCTCTTGCTTTCTCTGATGTCTTCTATCTCTGCTACCCCAGGTGCCTGGGCTTGAACCAGTGAGAGCTGGTTACACAGCTTGCTGGCTTGGAGAAGATAGCATGAAAGGGAAACATGTTCCTGTTTCTTAATTTGACTGAGCTCTTAATAGCTCACCAAACCAAGACCTGAAAGGGTCCATCATCAGTGCTGACCCTCTACTTTTGAAAGATGCTGGGAAGCTGGTGTACTAGATCACTTCTTGGCTTAGTCTGTGTTTGAGGATACAGGTGTTAACAGGATCCAGATAAGAAACAGTTGCTAAGCACAAGAAATGAGATCTTCCCGTCCTATGGTGCTTACACTATTTCTTAGATGTTGCAGTTCTCACTTGGTACTTGTCATGTTTTTATGTTAAGATTTTGATCCAAGCAGAAGATCGGGCACATCGAATTGGACAGACCAGCTCCGTTAACGTTCACTACCTGGTGGCCAGAGGCACAGCAGATGACTACTTATGGTAAGAAGTGAGAAAGACACTTTGGTTCTCCTGCCACCTGCTTTCCGCTGTTTGTCACATATGTGATCTGAGGTGCTTAACGTTAGTGCTGATTTCCACAGCCTGTGAAGGGAGGAGCAAAAAGTGCCAGTCGGGTCTGCTGTGAGCTGGTGACATGGCCTGGTTGCAGTGGACATGACTAAGTGGCTGACAAGCAGGAGGAATAAAAGTAGTTACCTCACAAGGAAAAGGCTCTTAAGAGAAATTCTGGAGGAGCTGATGCATCTAAAACCGTTACAGCCTCTGTGTAAGGAGAAGGACTTGTCTTAGATAACAGCCCAGAACATTCCTATGCTAGGGCACTGTAAAGTGCTGAGTATTTTCAAGCAAAGTCAGCAGACACCGGAGATGGTTCAGTGTATTGCAGATTCGGTCTGAGGAGCAACTTGGCTTCTGAGTGCTTGGACAGGGAGCTGTGGAGAAGGACTGTACTGTTGCTATCCTCTTGCTCTTCAGAGAGCCCTTCAGATGGATTAAAAAAGTGCTACTGACCCACCTCTAGATAGTTGTGGGATGAGTCTTTTTGGCTGCTGTGAGGGTCATCAGTGGACACAAGTCCTTAGGGCTGGGGAAGCTGACATCTGGGGGTGGGGAGGATCTGAGGAATCTTCAGTGCTGCAAGGGAACTGACCTGCAAACGATGAAAAGAAATTATCCACCAGCTGGTTCATTTAAAGTCCAAAATTACATCTTTATTACCTTGTTTAAAGGAACAAATGAACTCAGTGAACTTGTGCAGTTCCCAGAATATCATGATGGCAAATAATTATAACCCTACAATGCAGGGATCTGGAAACTGATACATTGCCCAAATTTCATGGAAAGTTAATGACAGTAATTCTGCCTTTATTTGTGAAATGCTGTCTGTGCAGTCATTATTAGTGCTTAATGGGAAGGAAATATGGCTCTTGAAAGGACAGTGGCATTCTTTTTAAAGATGAGAAAAAGATCAAGACAACAAGGCTATTTGGTTAATGCATTAATTGTGCCATGGCCTTTGTGCCTTTCAAAGTGTCCAGTCTGCAGGTGCAGCTGGGACCTCTCTGCCTCTTGGGCCAGTGACGGATTCTTCCTCCTGCTTTACATTGGGAGTTATCCTTGAAATGCTGATGTGTCTGTTGTTGGGGATTACCACTGCTTGCCTTGGAGACTGAACACACAGACTGTTGAGAGTCCCTTTAGCTGCATCTTCTTGTTCTGGCTTCATACCATTAGTGTTGCTTTAGTCAACTAGTTTCCCTATTAGATATGTGCGTTCTCCAAATATTTGTAGCCCTAAATCCTCTTCTTGTTACTTATTTAATTGATTGATACTTGTTTAAACTGCATTGGCTGATACCCCAAGATAGCATAGTCATCATAAACAGGAGCAGGACCGGTTAAGGAACTAACAGGCATTGGTAGAAGAAACATCTTTATACCTGGTTATATCTTTTTTTCGTCTACACATATTAAATGACAGTGTTCTTGATGATACATTTTTCCTTTCGATAATAATCCATTTATCTCTCCTAGGCCAATGATTCAAGAGAAGATCAAAGTGCTGGGCGAAGCTGGTCTTTCAGAAACCAATTTCTCTGAAACAGCTGAGTCCACTAATTACTGTCCTAAGGTAATTGACCTGAAAGAATATTGGTGGTCCCTGGGAGAGGCTGAATGGTCTTTGGCTTGTGTCATTTACATTGGCAGGCTGACCTTACACCTGTTCTGCCTTTAATGCCACAGAGCAGATTCTCCAACTCCTCCCAGGATCCATGCCTTGACTTGGACTCTCCACAGAGATGTTCCAAACCTGCTGCTTGCAAGGAGACATGTTGGCCTCCATGGCATTTGTATGTCTTTGAGTGTATACATATGTATGAGATATATGTGTGTGTGTATCATACATGGTACAATCTATACACATAAATGCGCTGTCTCGGGGGGAACATCCTGTGATTGTTGCTCATTAGGTTTTACATGCCAATGTCCATGCAGACTCTTTCTGTTCTGTTTTCTCAGCCTGATCCAAAGCAGCAGACCATCTATGACCTTTTCCAGAGGACCTTCTCGGAGAGCAGAGATGACGCTGATGATGCTTTGCTTTTGGAGGCAGCTGATGCTGGCTGTGAGTTTGACTCTGACAGTGTCTTGCAAGATAGAGAAGCAGAAACATGTTCAGCGAGTCCCCAAAAAAAGCGGCGTATTGAGGAGTTTTTTAAAGTGTAATGGTGACAGCAAAAGAGACAGCAGCTAAGAGATCTTTTTTAATTAAAAAAGAAAAACCAAAACCAATCAGGTTTTATTTTTCAGTTTTCAAAAATAAAAGACTTCAAGTTTTCTGTATGTCTAGCATGTTTCATCTCAAACGATGAGGAGGCAGTCTGACTGTGTGACAGATGTGCAGTGCACACCTGGCAGCCTGCAGGGCTTGCAGTCTGGGTTTGCTAATGACTGAATGGCCATGTGCAAGTAGCATGCTGCTGTGTTTCAGCATGTTGGCTTCCACAGCTGTTTGGTTTAAAAAGCACGTAATGGCTGTCTGTCCACAAGGCAGAACTGTTGCAAAAACCAAGTCCTCAGCAGCTGCAGAGTGCTTTTAACAATCAGTCTTCCATCTCCAAGAGTTCTAGCCTGTGTTTGTAGGAGTTGGTTTACTGGCAAACTTAGCTTCTACTTGGGTCACTCACAAACTGGCTTTCTGATACTCTGTTTGGCCATGAGGGAAAAAGATTCAGACAGATCTTGATGTTTTGTGGAGGTGGGGAAGACAAGGGAAAAGAGCAGTCAGTACCTTGAAACTAAACAGTGTAACTGTGTGCCAGGAGTGCGCATTGCCTGATAGGCAGACCTGCCTGAGCACTCTCATTTCTGACCTCATCTGCTGAATCTTAAGAGGTGGTCCATGGCATTTGCTTCTTGTGTCAGGAGAGAGTAAAGCTTGTGCTAACTGCCAGGGATTAAGCCTCTCAGGGAGGGGTTGTGTGATGTCTTCAAGAGTCAAGACTAATTTCTACAGGTGAGTGAGGACAGGGGGACGTGCAGAGTTTTGCTCTTGTTTTGTAAGAAACTGATTCTGGACTGAGCTGTTTAAATAAAAAGGTTTTTTAAATTGTGGTTCCCAAGCTTTGGATACTTTTTCTGTTTTAGCATTTCATCTCCCATTTGGACCTTAAGCTTGAGAAGTATGTGATGCAGTGGAAATATTAACTTTTTTTTAAAAGTACTTACAGTGTCTGAAAGATATGTCCTTTTTGTGCTTTCTAAAAGACATCAACTTTCAAATGGAAAACTCCCATGATACCTTGCTTATAGGTGAATCTCCACAGAGGTGATGCCTCTGCAAAAACTCTAGAGGCCACTTTTGACGTGGGCTTGATGTAAAGGCAAGTGGCTTTGTTTATCACAACTGGTCTTCTCAGGCATCTCTGCATGGTTGTCTTTATTTTTTTGGGTGTGTATCATTGGCAGTGTGGTGTAGCATGATCCCCAGAATAATGTCTTTCATGCTTCTGGTCTTAGTCCTAGAAGATACTTGGAGATGGGCTAGTGTTAAGCCAGTGTGATCAGGGAGTACAGGAGAAGATATAATTTCACAAATGTATCAGTTATCTATGTTTTACAGCCATAATCTGTAGAGAGGTATGGGGGAAAAGCAAACTAAAGGCTTACACTTAGCTCCTGGAGACCAGGAGCTAATATGCTGTGCAGGTGGCATGCTTGGCTCTGTGCAGGTACCAGACACTGATAAAAAGATCTCTCTTCCACAGCAGAGGAGAAAAATGTTTGTGCTGCAAGATCAACCTGGTAATAATAGATATTTTTTCCTACATTGAAGGGTTTGATTATTCCATTTTCAGCAGTTGTCGTCATGGAAATGCCCCACAGGCTGCGTATGCAGTTGTGCTGGGTGGAGAATTGCTTTCCATTCATGACTGCAGAAGGTGCTTTGGGGTGTGAGCAGCAGTGAGGGTTGTGTGACTGGGCTACTGGAGGAAATGCTTTATCTCTCTGGGTTTGAGACTGAGAGCCAAACATCATTGCTCTTGCTTCAACAGCTGGCCAGGAGATAAAGACACGCTTTCTGACATTTTTAAATGCCTGTCATCTTGAACACAGAGTATTCAATCTGTCTGTAGGACAAGTGATCTTTCTACTTGCAAAGTGGGTTGTTGTGAGTAAGGGGTGAGAAATGTTGCTGTCTGCTGACTGAAAAAAAATATGGAAGACATTATTTGTATACCCATATTGTTTTCTCCTATAGGAGTAGTTCTTTTCCTCTTTGTGAAGCTACAACTATTTCAAAACAGTATTTTTCTGAAATATGCTGTAAGTAGCCTTGGAGAATTCTGCTTCTCATGAACTCTATTTATATTATCCATATGTTGATAAATCCCAGCCTGTTAGAGGAATGCTAGGTGTACGCTTCTTTTATTAGGACCCATAAAATCTCAGCTGGCTTGCTGCAGAGATACAGAAGTTTTTCTGAAGTACACTTGAGATTCACTTTATCCATACTAGATGAAAAAGGGAAGAAGAATCTTTCAGGAAAGTGCTTTTAGTGATTACTTCAAGGAATTGGAGAGACTGTGCAAGCCTTATCCCAACTGCACCATTAGCCCATCATTAATATGGTGAGGAAGTGGCTGGGCAGCTGCCAGCAGGCTCAGACAGGATCTCCAAGGCTTGCTGAAGAGACCTTGTACAAGGTAATGTGCACGCTGACAGACCCACAGGGAGGCTTGGGAACATGCAGCACTCTTGGGGACTCTTGCACCTGCCCACTGAAGATGACACAGCTTTTTGGCATTATCTAAAGCCCAGTAGAGGAAAGGGAAGGACCCATCTTACTAGACCTTGGAGCATCTTGCTGTGGCTGGACAGCTGCTTGTACATCTGCATCAGTGCGCCCACCCATGCTGGAGAAAGGTGTGTTTCCAAGAAGGATGCCAGACCAGGAACAACAGGTAAAAATACCTGAACAGTAAGCTGGAGCAGTTCAAACTAAGTCTTCTACAAGGCCCAGGCTGACCAGCTTCATGTGCTGAAGAGTTCAAGGCAGTGGACTATCAAGGTAAGGCTGAGCTGGCCTGTCTGCATCCATTATCTTCTCAGTCACTTGGAAACTGTGTTTACTCTGGCAGTGCTGGGAATGGCTGTCATCCAAGGGGGCTGGGTTTAGTTGTTGCCAGAGCTATCTGTAACATTGGTAGATGAAGGGTATGACCACGCACTGTAATCTCACAGCAAACTTTAACTCTGTAGATACAGACCGGAGAATAGCAGTAGTAGATTCTCTGTCCTGGATGTGTTGGCTGACACAAATATTATGTTTCTTTAACCATACCATCCCTAAACAGCCAAAGGAACTTTTTATTTTCTTCTTTTTTGTTTCTTTTATTTAAATCTTCTAATATGCTGGTATCAAAGCTGTATCCTGTGAGTCATCATTATGATGAGGATCTGAAAAGGGCAAATATATTCCTAGGATATATCAAATGAGATTTTGACTCAACACAGGGAGATATAAATACCATTGCCTAAAGCCCTGCTGAGATCTCCTCTGGAACATGGCTCTGGCCTACCAGCTCCCAGCAGAAGAGCTTGCAGGGGTGATCAGGGAATGGGGAGCCTGGCATGACGGAGTTAAAACTATGAGTGTTCAAATCCTCAAAGCAAGAGCCAAGAGGGGATGCAGCATCTGTCTGTGAGCATCTCTGAAAGTACAGTCCCCAGCCCAGGAAAGACCAACACAGTGGCAGGGTACACTCGATTCATTAATTCCTTACTAACTAAACAGACTGCAAGTGGAGAGGTCTGTCATGGGTTGAGGCAGCTGGGGTGGGTATGGAGCTGTCAGGAAGAGAGGAAAAGCATCTGCAAGAAGCAGCTGGAGATGGTTTCTCCAGGTGGACTGGGAAGCTCTGGTTCTTCCTGGCAGGAGGGGATGAGCTGTAGCTGGCTCTTAGATTAAAAAGCTCTTGGGCTAACTAATTACATTTCTTAATGGAGGTTAATGGGTTGCTAATCCCCACATGAGCACTGCAGCTCACCGGCACTGGTACGTTTTGCTGACCCCACGTTTTGGTGCTGGTGGTGGAGACGCCTCTGGTGCCCCAAACACCTGGGGGTACTGTCTGGGTGCTGAGAGTCACCTCTGCAGCAACACACAAAGGCTTTCAGGGCTGATTATCTCAACAGTAAATAACCCTGAGGATAGGAAGTTGCATTGGTTCCATCAGGTCAGGTTATCTTGAAACCTTTTTTAGGGTTAGGGCTGGTGTGTTCCAAAATGAGAATTTGTCCTCACTGATTAATCATCATCTTTCTGCAGTTCCAGTCAGGTTTTTTGTTTCTGTTTTAATTCTGACGTCTACCTACTACTTTCTCTTTAAAAACGAGGTCAGTGAATGTAAGTGCCCCATCTAGTGTGCTGGTGGGACCTCTCTGGGTGGGAGCCTGGGGCTCTGAGCTCCCGCGCTCCCTCCGGGGGTGCTGGGGCTCATGTCCCGCCTGGCTCTCACACTGGGCTCCAAAGTATCACAGGACAGACCACACTGGCATCGTCTGGTCCAACCTCGTTGCTCAAGCAGGGCCAGTGAGTCAGACCCAACAACCCCTCCGTGTGCTCTGCTCCGGGGGTCGCTCCCCGCCGTGTCCAGGGCCGCTCTCCCGTGCAGGGGGTGTCTCCCCGCGGGACCCGCCCGGGCCCGGCCCCTCCGCGTCACTTCCTCGGGCAGGGACCCGCCCGGACCTGCGCACGGGGCTCCCTCTCCGCGTCAGGGCCGGCACAAGATGGTGAGTGTGGCCGGGGCGCGTCCGCTCCATCCCCCGCCATCCGCCCCGGGCGGCCGCGCTGAGCCCGCGGGGCCGGGCCCGGCTGTGCGCTGTGTCCCCCGGCGGGCCCCGGCCCCGCGCTGGGCTGCGGCAGCGGCGCGCTCTGGCGCCCGGGCGGTGGCGGGGAGGCGGCCCAGGAGCGGGGAAGGGCGGCCGGGCGGCGGGACAGGCCGGTCCCAGGACGGGAGGCGGCCGGGGCGGCGGGGACAGGCCGGTCCCAGGAGCGGGGAAGGGCGGCCGGGGGGCGGCGGGGACAGGCCGGTCCCAGGAGCGGGGAAGGGCGGCCCGGGGGCGGCGGGGACAGGCCGGTCCCGGGCGCGCAGCGCCTGCACCGTGAAGGGTCCGCGGGGGCGGCTCGGCCGGCACAGCGCTCCTGAGAGAGCCGGGCTGTGCTCGGGCCTGGCGGCATTTCGTACCTACTGCTCCACTGGAGGGCAGGGACCCTGACTGGGGGACTGAAAGTTATTTCCCTTACGAGGACAGGCTGAGGGGAGTTGGGCCTGTTCAGCCTCGAGAAGGGACGGCTGAGAGGGGATCTCCTTAATGTGTATGCACGTCTAAAGGAGAGGTGCCAGGAGGATGGAGCCAGGCCCTAGTCGGCGGTGCCGAGCAATAGACAGGAGGCAGAAACTGATGCGCAGGAAGTTCCACCTGAATAGGAGGAGGAACTTCCGTGCGAGTGACTGAGTGCTGGAAAAGGTTGCCCAGTGCAGGGCGTGGAGTCTCCCTTCCTGGAGATACACAAGAACGGTCTGGACACAGTCCTGTGCCATGTGCTCTGGGATGACCCGGCTTTAGCAGGGAGGTTGGACCAGGTGACCCACTGTGGTCCCTTCCAACCTGACCCATTCTGTGAACACTCAGCTTTTGCAGTGGGGGCAGGAGGCTGCAGCCCCAGTTTAGGGCACTGTTGTGTCAGGAGAAGGAAGCAGCTGAGGAGATGGCAGTCTCTGTGAAGTTGAAGCTTACTGTGGTTTGCCTCCCAACAGGCCAAGCGCACCAAGAAGGTCGGGATTGTGGGTAAATATGGGACCCGTTACGGTGCATCCCTTAGGAAAATGGTGAAGAAGATTGAAATCAGCCAGCATGCCAAGTATACCTGCTCTTTCTGTGGCAAGGTGAGAGATCTCCTTACCCCGAAAAAATCACATTGTTTCTGGTGCTAGAAAGGCAATTTGATGCTTCAGGAATTTTTGTACAAAAGGGATAACATGACTAGTTTTGAGGTTAATGAATGGTGAGCTTTGGGCTACTGTCAGAATCCATGAAAAACATAATAGTATACATTTCACATGCATATTTAGTGGTAGTTAAATGAAACATTATGTTTCATTATGCAAAAGATTGAGCAGTGTTGCCATTACATTTTTAATAAAATAGATTTGACAGAATTAAAGCATCACACTTGCTATCTTGATAATTAACACATGATTTGGGCCTTTTTTGTTCCTTCAGTAGCTTTACAGCATACCTGGAGGAGGAGCTTGCTTTTTCCCACTTAAAACTCCTGATGGCAGTTGCATACTTTTGTGTGGTGTGTAACTGTGGAGGGAGAAGAATTTCTAATAAGTAATCTTACCTACTCATGTACATAATCAAAATTCACTGTTAAATCTGGTTTTCGACAGTTTAAGATGCCCATCAGCTTGTGCTTTGCCCAGATAATTTTTTATTGTTATCTGTAGAGTAAGTATCTTTAGGTGACTGGGAATTTAAAAATATTTTCATCCGAGTTTTTGCCGGGAGGGGGGGGCTTGGTTATTGTTTTTCTGTGTTTTTTTTCTTTTTAACTTGGTGTCTTTGTCACGTGAAGTGAGAATATTCATAACCCCTTTTGCGGAGCTGCCTAAATCAGGCATAGGTCTAGGCAAACCTATTGTCACCTTTGCAAGGTAATGGATGCTTACTCAGGAGAGAGGAGTTCAAGACCCACCACTCACTCTTTGGATGCCATTTGAAGAGTGTCTGGTTTACAACAATCATGGGTTGTCCAGGGAGTACTGGGAACAAACAGTGGTGTCACATTAGTCACCAAACAGAGTATCAGTTACTATGACCAAGGTATATCCTTGCTATTTTATTCCTTCAAAAGAGCTGGATTTTTGAGAATGTGTTTAGAGAAGACCCACTTTATATTTGAATGAAAAACTGTTTCAGATGGACTTCCCCTGTTCTGCAGAATCTGAGTAAAAAGATTCCCTGATCCTTGCCTGTCATAACTAGGCTTATAGGAACACTGTGGTGTGATGCTGAAGTCCTCGCCTGAAGTTTGTTGTTTGGCTTTTTCAGCCGATGGAGAGTGATTTTTTTTTTCTGCCCCTTTTTCTTTTATTCCAGACCAAAATGAAGAGGAAGGCTGTGGGTATCTGGCACTGTGGATCCTGCATGAAGACAGTTGCTGGTGGTGCCTGGACTTACAAGTAAGGAAATGAAGAAGCTCCTATCAGCATTTATTCCTGTGTACTTGAGGCATAATACAGCTTTTGATTTTTTTAGACTTTTTTTAAATTTTAATCTACTAACAATTAAGTAGATCTGTCTTGAGTTAGTGACATGGGAGGGCTTGCCTGCTTTGTTAAAATTTGATTGCAGTGGATCAAATTGTATTTGACTGCTATTCTTTGCAATAGGCAAAACCAGATCTACTCAAAAAAATTTATTTCCGTGTTTTTTCCTTTTGCTGTAACAGCACTGAATCATGACAGCCCTTATTGTGCAGGTGCTCTTGCTTACTCCCTTTCTTTGCTCTCCTTCCCCCACAATTTTGATAGAAGACACTGTTGCCCCACATGTAACAGCCGTGAGCGAGCTGAGCCCACAGGATGTGCACCTGGTGGGTGCCTGACTGGGTAATTTGTTTTAAGATGTAGCCTGTGAAGCTGCATGTGCTTCTGTAGGCCAAGGCCTACACTTTGTTGTCATGAAAACAGAAGTGGAATTAGACCCCTCTTGACAGCGCAATCAGACAATAACTGTTTGAAATGAGTAGTGCTTTCTTTAGAAAAAAGATAACACTGGCACAGTTGTTCTGCTGCCACATGCAAATGACTCTGTTTCTTCCTCCAGTACCACCTCTGCAGTGACAGTCAAATCTGCGATCAGAAGACTGAAGGAATTGAAGGACCAGTAGAAGCTACTTCCTGTTCTCCATGTGAAACATCTTTTTTTCCTATTGTCAACATCTGTCCTTTTATCAATAAAAGAGTGATAATGGAGTAGAATCACGTTCATCTTTTCTGCAGGAAGTTCTGTCTGTTGTGTTATGTGTTGATCCTGGCTGTATGTCAGGTACCCATCAAAGCTGCTCCATAACTTCCCTCCTCAGCTGGACAGGGTAGAAAAAATATGGGTTGAGATAAGGGCAGGGAGAGGTCTGGTTGCCTACTTACCCTTACAGACTTGACTTGGGTAAATTGGTTTAATTTTATTACCAATCATATCAGAGTATGATAACGAGAAATGAAGCCAAATGTTGATTCCACTCAACCCTCCCTTCTTCCAGGGCTCAATTTTTGATTTTTCTCTCCCTCCCACCAGCAGCACATGGGGGACAGGGAATGGGGGCTGCAGTCAGTTCATCACATGCTGACTATGCTGCTCCATCTCTCTCAGGGGGAAGGCTCCTCACACTTCCTCTGCTCCAGCATGCTCCAGCTCCTTCCATAGGGTGCAGTCCTTCAGAAACAGACTGCTCCAGTGTGTGGCCCTTCTATGGGGTGCAGTCCCTCAGGAACTGGCTGCTCCAGTGTGAGTCTGCCATGGGGTCACAAGTGCTGCAAGCAAACCTGGTCCTGCGTGGACTCCACAGGGGCATAGGTTCTGTCAAGAGCCTGCTCCAGTGTGGGCTTCCTGCAGTGCTACAGCCACCTTTGGACATACCCCTGCTCCAGCATGGGGTGCTCCTTGGGCTGCAAAAAAAACCCCCAGTATTTTGCTAAATAGAAGTTCATTTGTCATGGTTATCCTCTGTTGGTGGGTGTGCCTGCACCCCCTCTGCACCTGGGCTGTTACCTTGCACACTGTCAGCAAAGCACCCACTGCTCGTTAACCTTTAAAATTCCAGTTTCTCACAAACCACTTCCTCTCTCTCCTTCTCTACTGACCTTGGTACTTGCAGAGCTGTTGCTCTCACATTCTCTCCTCTCTCCAGCTGCAGCTGCTGTTGCATGGGTTTTTTTCCCCTTCTTAAATGTAATATCCCGGAGGCACTGCCACCATTGCCTATGGGCTTGGGCTTGGCCAACAGCGGGTCCATGCTGGAGCCAGCTGACATTGGCTCTGTCGGACAAAGGGCAAGCTTCTGGCAGCTTCTCACAGAGGCCACCACTGTAGCCACCCTACTACCCAACCCCTGCCATGCAAACTCAGTACACCGCTGTATTTATAGGTGTAACTGTGGAGACATTAGTAGTGCTGTCCAGTAGTTAAGTGGCTCTTTTTACTGGTGAAGCCATTAAAAACCACTTTTCCTTTCCAGTTAATTGTACACTGTGACCTGAATGCTCTGAGACAAATCTGAGGAAAACTTAAATAACTTGAAGAAGCCTGGCTCATCTTTGTATGTCCTTCACGTCTGTGCCTTGAGGAATAGCATAGAGCTCCATGAGTGGAGGAATAGACAGATCTGACAGGGGAGGAGAGAACACATAAAACATCGCTCTGCCTCTTCCCATTTGCCTCTGAGGAGGGCTGGGGGGACTAGGGCGTGTGCTGCAAGGTGGAGAGAAAAAGAGCATAATGAGCTGCTGCTGGCCAATGCTGCTGATTTTCCAGCACTGACCACAGATAATTGTGTGCTATGAGCTGTCGTGTGTTGTGTCGCCTGCAGATCTTGTGGTTAGTCCACATGAACGCTTTGTTCTCTCTATGGGTCATTCTCCTTTGGTCTGGTAGCAGGTTCCCACATGTGTATGTTTGAGTTGCCTAATCCATACTGAGTTGCAACAATAAATTTTCATGTTGAGCCAATTCTTGGGACATTCAGTCTTGGACAAAAAGCTGATGTTTGAGTTAATAATTTCCTCCATATCATCCATTTAGACTGTTAAGATGCTGGAACATCTTTCATGGTCTGTCTGGTGAGCTTCAATTTGATTTGAGGTTTGATCTGTCTGAGTTTTTTGGTGACTACAGCACATCTGTCCTTAAAAATACAGGTCAGAAACCACAAGTCTTGTTAATAACCCTGGTAGCTGCTGGAGGAAAAATAGTAAGGAGGTAGCAGAGGAGTCACTTGCTCTTGCTCCAACTTAAGCTTTAAATAGATTTGGGTGGTGGTGAGCTACAACATTAATAATTCATTATTGAGCTGGACATCTTTGAAAGATCGATTCAAAACTGTACCTAAGTAGGAGCTTTTTCCCAAGCTGCAAAAAGTCTGTGGCTCACAAGTTTGACTGCAGTGTCTCTGACACATGTTTCCTAAACCTTTTTTTTTTTTTCTTTTAATTCAGTGCTTCAAACTTCCCATACTAAAGTAAATTCATGTATTCAGGTATCTGGTGTCATTCCTACCAAACTGCATATCCTGATGTCACCTCCCAACATGCCATGTGCTGTAACTTCTTCCCTGGGAAGCCACCTGCAGTGTCCAACCACCCTCTCGGTGAAAAACCTTTTCCTTATATCCAGCCTAAACCTCCCCCGACACAACTTCAGGCCATTCCTTTGGGTCCTGTCACTGGTCACCAGAGAGAAGAGATCAATGCCTGCCCCTCCACTCCCTCTCAGGAGGAGCAGGACAGTGTTGTTCTGCTCAGTGCTTTTTATTCTTGATTCAGAGTGCTTGGGTCACATTTCCACGTGCTGAGATGAGATTCTGCACACCTCTGTGCTTTCTTCATCAATGCAGAGGTTGTAACTGAAGTACAAGTTTCTGATAAAGCTCAGCTGCTCTGAAGTAGCCATTCACTGACAGGTGCAGGGGATATGTTTTGCTGTGTTGATATCCCAGGGTGATTGCACAGGTATCTTATCTAAGGTGACTTCTATTACTGCTGAGGAAGTTATTAATTACCCTTTCCATTTATATTCGCAGAGGATGGAAGCTGGGCAGGGTGGAAATAGGAAGAGAAGACAAGGATGTGAGATGATCTTTTTGATCTGGATTGTGTGGTTCTACCTGCATCCTGGGTGGGTAGGCTACATCCATCCAAACCCTGCATGGATGGGCTGTGCCCACAGACCTCCTGGGCTTGTTGTGCCATGGTACTCTGGCCTGATCCTCAGCAAAGGGTGTTTCGTGTTGGTGAATCTTCATGGCTGCCAATTCCACCGGTTTCCCCAAAGCGAGAGCAGGGAGGAAGGTGGAGAGGGCCGGGAGGAGGAAGGATGCTGTGGTCAGAGCACTGGCAATGCTGCGAGCGGCCAGCGGGCGACACTGCCGTTCTGCTGCGCGGAGCTGCGAGGCTGCTGCATCCTCTCGGCTTCCCTTCCACTCGGGAGAGGGCTCTGCTCACCTCTACGCCCACTGTAGCTTCTCAGCTCAGCGCTTCGTGCTCCCCCGCCCTCAAAACAGGCCACGGTATTGAGTTTAGACTGAAACAGAAGTCTGTGACAAAAGATATCAGGAGGTAAAAATAGGAATGGGGAGGTTGGAGATGAGGATTTTTGTCTGTCATTTGTCACCTTCAACAGAACTGAATTTGTGTCAGGACTCTGTCTACATGCTGTATATATCCTAGGAGAAATCTTTCTATTGACAACTACGTGATTTGGCCAGTTGATCCTCCAAATTTGTTGTTTCCTCTGGGAATCCTCTGGGAATCTAGGGATTCCCAGAATCTAAAATTCCCAGGAATTCTAAAGAATTTTGCTTACTGCTTTCCAAATATTTGTTTCCTCTGGGAATCCTCTGGGAATCTAGGGATTCCCAGAATCTAAAATTCCCAGGAATTCTAAAGAATTTTGCTTACTGCTTTCCAGGTATTTGTTGTTCAGCCTTAATCAGGAACTTGGATAGAGTTGTCTTAGGTGCTGGGACCTGTCCTGGAAGGTGTGAACTTATGGCACTGTCTGACCCATCTGGATTGCTGCAGCTCTGGGAACTGGGTTTGATGGAAATGGTGACTTTAAATCCAACTGAATGTTCCGTAGATGTGGCTGTGCAGGTTTGTTGATCTTGGTTGTTTTTGAAGAGCAGGTGGGAAGGGCACCTCTTTCTCAGAGCAATTTGTCAGTCCCATGGGATTTTTCTTTCAGGATCAAGGATGGTAGCTGTAATCAGCGTGGCATTTCAGGTGCCAAAGGTATGTCAGGAGCCCAAAGGAACTTGGAAATAAAAAACTGAACAAGCACAGGTCAGCTCTCCTCATTCTGATTTCTGTTAAGCATTTACTTGTCTCCAAAAGAAAATAATTGCTTTGGCTTTATGCCATTTGTGCTTCCTGCTCTCTTCTGCTCACTCACAACCTGTTTGATTGGATCATGGGGGCACCATTGATGTTTGTATTATGCCACATATTAAAGACTGTTGGGGCCTAGGGCTCACAGGGATGAGAAACCTCAGCCATAGGTGTTGGTTGCCCCTTCTGCAGGTCCTGACTTAAAGGTGGTGTGAACTCAGCCCATGTGCAGGTGCTCAAATCCTTTCTTAGGGACTTGCTTGTAATCACAGCCTGACAGTTATAAGCAATGGGCACCATGTTTTAAGGAGCATATCCCAGTGTGATTTTTAACTTCCATGAACAGCAAATGTCTTGCCATTACTGTGTGGTCATCTGCCTTCATCCCTGAACACAACCAAGGGCTGCCCATTGCCTTTCTGAGCTCCTTCATGTCTCTTCCCATGCCTCTTCCTCCATGCTGCATCCCAGGGAGATTTCCAATGGCACTTCAGAAACAAGAGTGACTGAGGCAGATGAGTCACCTTTCTGGTGTCGATATACCCTGTCTAAGGACAATGTGCTAGGTGTCTCCCTAGAAAGAAAGGAGATTTAGTGATGAAGTTTATTGCTGGCTTTGCATGCAGCTCAGAACATTGAACAAGAGAAGCAGCCGGAGCTGGGGACTGATGTGACCACCACTTTAATGGGCTGCAAGTCACCATCTGCTTTTATGTATTGTCCAAATACTTCCACCTCCTGCTCATCTCACCTGTATTTTCAGCAGCTCCACTTGGGGAAGCATTGCATTACAGAGCTGGTCCAGCTCCTGTGAAAGAAGCGGGCAGACAACATCTCTCTGCTACCCAACTGAGCAGCAGGGCTCACAGCTTTTCTTC